CTAGTGTTAATCTTTCTTCATATCCTCTTTCGGCCTATTTCTTTTTCAACCGAAAATTATATCGAGATCTACTGTCCGCATAAAAGAGTAGAGGATGTGCCTATTTGGTTCCATTATTTGTATGTTCTTACTTGGGCCGGTCTCTCTTGAGTTCTTGCTTCTTTGTCATTTTTGAATGGGATAGTACGACAACGTCTAGGATGAAAATACAATGGACTTCGAACTATATGGTCTCGGCTAGTGAACCGCGACTGAAAGTCTGTAACTACCTGCTTAATCTTTCAGGAGTTCCTTCTATTTATTGACAAACATAAAAAAGACTGAACCTTGAGAAAACTGCACCATGGTTTGCGGTTGTTTGAATTGCATTGGCAGAAGTATCCGCCGCCTCAGTCGGACTAGGATCAGACCACAGCAGAGCCCACAGAACCAGCGACAGAACATGGTAGAGAAGAGGCTCGCTTTGATGGCGACGGCGGCGGTGCTGATGATGACATAGAGATGGCTCACATCGAGGCAGCTAATACCACAGAAGAGAGGGCCCACAGAAATCCTAGCTCAAAAACCATCACGTATATCTAGCGCTTCCTCAATAATTTCCTCTTGTGCGAAAATGAAAATGCATGCTGCCGAAGGTCAAAGGACAACAGGACAACAGAATAGATCACAGACGGTGATGCAATGAGCTGATGGGTAGCATCCCTTTTAAACCACTACAAATTCTTGAATCAGCAAAGCTGGATGAATCAAATCAACGAAATGATTTTTATTAAAAAATCACCAGAAAATGCCTAAAAGTCTAAGGGCTTCATCAGTTGCACAATTTCATCAGCAACGCGGTGCTGGCACGTTAGGTCGCTGAGTAGCGCATAGCTAAGTATGCCCATAACTTCCTCAAGATATTCGCATTTCTGAGGGAATACCTCATACCAATAGCCAGGGGGTTTCGAGGTGACGATGGGATGGTCGGGAAAGTACGCACACACATCGTCCCCAAGCGTTTTGATCCTATGTGTTCTTTTAGCAAGTATAATTAACGACTCGCTTACCTGGGGCCCGGAGCCTGGGCAATGGTGCAAAACTGTGATTTGCGCATCGAGAGTTAGCAGGAAGTCTTCGCACTCTTGCTCGTAGTTTGGGATGAGTCCTTCTGTCCAACCTGGTGCGGAACTGTCCCACCAAGCCATGGCTGCGAGTCCCTAGATCACTTTACTGTAGATTATAGGTACTGGGAATTGTAACAGTGCAGAGAGCGATATCTGCATGAGCGCTCGAGGTGGTTTGATCGGGGCTATTTATGTGTTTCCGCCGGGGAATTGCCATGATTAAATTTGACCAAGATTAACAAACCAACAAAGAATGGATAGGTAACTAGATGCAACAGACATGGATTTCTCTCTATTTCCTTTGTGCTCGTGAACAATAGTTTTTGGGACCACCACTGTGTTCTTTGTCGGACAAGGTGCGCTATTGGCCGTATTTGGCCTTGGGACAATTTTGAAATCATTAAGGAAAAATGAACCACATAAATAACACAATCCATTGAAATGCTAACACATCTGCATCTCTGCAGAGAGTGTAGGCTCTTGGAAGATTATCTAGTCCAACTTAGGTTCACAGATCTCGGCCAGTATAGTATGTACATGCCAGCTAATGCCATCCTTGTCACTCAGTTACCCCATGAACCTCCGACAGTGAACGAGCCATGCTGGCGAATATCACGACTGGAACTACCAACATAGATGCTGAATTTGCCGGTAGGGACAACCCATTTCTGCGTCGTCACATCCCAGTAACTGATATCACGCCGGGTGAGCTCGAAAACGGCTCTACTCGATTGTTTCGGCTCAAGCCTGAGTTTCTGGAACCCGCGAAGCTGCTTGGGCGGAGTACTCGGTGCCGAGTTTGGCAGGCCGATATAAAGTTGTGCAACCTCAGCACCAGCTACCTTACCTGTATTGCGCACAGTAGTAGAAATTGTGCCGACAGAATTGAAAAGATCTGCTGGGCCTCCCGGAATGACCTTGCCAGTTGACGGCCCCGCTCTGGCGTGTACATCAACTGCAATTCCGGTGTAGTCAAACTTTGTGTAAGACAAGCCGTATCCAAACTCGTAGCGAGGAGTGATCCCATTCTGGTCGAAATGACGGTAGTCAATGAACAGGCCCTCAGTGAAGTCATCAACTTGTGCGTTATTCCAGGTTGTTCCGTAGTCTCCGGCTGCTTTGGCGATCGTGTAAGGAAGCTTGCCGCTTGGGGAGATGGTTCCGTACAGCACGTCTACCAATGCATTTCCGCTTTCCTGGCCTGGTAGTCCTGCCCAGACAATTGCCTTCACGGACGGCAGTGCCAGGATCGTCTCCAGGGTGACTGGGCCAACACTGTGGACAACGACGATTACATGTTTGTTGACAGCTGCGACAGACTTGACGAGCTCATTTCCGTTGTGCCAAGGGTCAAGGTTGTTTCTGTCTCCGGCGTTGCCCTCAACTGTGATGTACCTGTAATTTATGTTAATAAAAATGGCATCGCTGGTCAAAGATGTGGACTAACTCACCCTTCACCTGCATCTGAATTGATGAAAACCACGGCAGTCTCAGCCGCAGCTGCAGCGGAGGCTGCATCGGAAGTGCTATCGGTGGTACTCTGAATAATCTTTGTGCCGTCCTTCTTGGCCTGAACTTGAATTGCGTCGAGAGGCGCGACGAGATACTAGACCAGTCGTTAGCAAGTCAGGGATCTTTCATGTTCGAACGATTCGAAACGTACCGGGAACTGAGCGGTGCCACTGCCCCATCCCATAGCTAATGTGCCGTTGTTGCAGCTGCGATCACTGCATGCGTTGGGTCCATCCGGATTAACAGCAGCATCCTCTCCAATGATGGCCAGGCTCTTGGGTCGTCGGAGGGGTAGAGCGTCGCCCGCGTTCTTTAAAAGAACGATAGAGTCACGGGCGACAGTGCGAACAACGCTGGCATGATCCCCCGTCACATCAACAGTCGCTTTGCCACCATTCCAGGAGCTAAATGAGACCTCTGGGTAGCCCTGGTCCTGGCCAAGAAGATACCAAGCAGCCAAAATACGAGTAACCATGTTGTCGAGGCGGGATTGTGGGACCGAGCCGTCGGCCACAGCTTTGGCCAGATTTGATCCCCAGAAGATGCTGCCGGGTGGAGAGTTGAAGTCACTGCCAGGCATGGTCATATCAAGACCGACTAAGGCACTATTGACGGTACTGTGCTGCGCATTCCAGTCGCTTACTACATATCCAGGGAATCCGAGCTCCTTCTTCATGAGCTCATTTAGGATGGCATCGCTCTCGCAGGCCCAGGTCTCGTTGACTTTGTTATAAGAGCACATCACTGACGCGACATTGGCCTTGACAGCGTTCATAAACGGCCATACATATAGCTCGTGCGCGGCCCGATCACCGATGTTGGAGCTAATGGTATCCCGGTTATGCTCTTGCTCGTTGCCAAGCCAGTGCTACACAACATGTCAGAGCAAGGTTAATCGAAAGACACGGAGAATCACAAACCTTGGCACAGGCTTGAACACCCGAGTCCTGCATGCCTTGGATTGTCTCTTCCATAGCGACACCGCTGAGATACGGGTCAACTGAGAACCCTTCCCAGTTTCTACCACCATTGGGATTCTTGCCCAGAGGTCCAGCTACTGGACCTAGTTGCACATGAACACCGAGACCTTTCGCCTCCGCGCCCATCGCAGCACCGCGTGCATACAGAAGACTACGGTCCCATGTTGCGCCTGCGTTGATCCCTGCCGGGAATGCTGTTACCGGGTTGGCAAAGCGAATACCCAAAGGAGAGTCTTGGAGGCACAAAGAAGGATAGTCAATTGAGCTGGGAGCATAGGTATTGCCCACGCAAGGCCCTCCCGTCCAGGTCACGCCAGTGACAATTCCAACTTTCTCAGTCTGGTTCAGCTTGTGTAGAGCTGCTGTGGCTCTTGAGTAAGCTGAATCCCAGCCAGCACTTCCCGAACCATAGGCATGAGCGCTGGCGCTTAAAGCTAGCGCTGAGAAAAGGAGATGTTGCATGGTTCTCGTCACTGTCGAAGATACCCTGGACAAATTTCCCCTCTGGCGCGCGGATTTGGCCCTTTTAAACCCCTTTCATGAGAATGCGCTTAAATTCCTCCCTGGCAGACCCCCTCATTTCGGTCCTCCATGGCGTTCTGGCCGCCATGCTGGGTGCCAGACTGGATTTGAATACATGAAAGTGGGCAAACGGGCCGGCCACTGTACTGAATTAGGAAGCAGAAACTAATCTCCGCGTTGGGGGTGGCACCCCTGGACAGCTGCGTTACACTGGAGTATGCGAGGAAGTAGGGTTAGCTCTCCGAGGGCGCCCTCGGACCCTGTCGAAGCCCCTTGTTGATTGGGTGGCGGAACTTCGGAATGTAGACAACAAAAGTGACTTCGACTATTCGACGTAGCGTGAAAATATTTCCCTTTCGCCGTTAGAATCTGCAACGCTGAACGGCTTATACCCCGCGTTTTGCTGTTGACTGCCGATACTCCGCGTAGCTTGGCATCGTCCCATCCCTGTCTGTTTCCATCGTTATTGGTCTTAACAAGAGCGAACCCAATGGGGTCCTGCACTAAGCAAAAAGCCATCCATCGGCTTTTTTGATAAAGCAATCAGAGTCTAAGCTCCTGCCATGTGTACCCCCTCGCCAGGTATCGCAGGCAACAGTTTTGTGGACGTGGGGTTTGTATTCTGTCCAGGAACTTAGATACTTTTGTCGCTCTTGGCCTTCTACTATTTAATACGTGTATTTACCCGGAGAAGCCACGACAAGAGTTAACTTCTCAAATGAATCGTGACACATTCACAGAAATGGTATAAATAATTCAATATATTCATTTTGTAAACGGTTCAATATGAATCTAACAATAAAGTTTAAGGCACGCCCACATGGATGTGACTTACTCAAATGAGCTTTAATGACATTAATATAACTCTGGGCGTGTCCAATTAGATGGGACCCAACCCTGCATCTGCCGGCAGGGCAATCGGATCAGGAACATTAGGCTCAATCTCAAATCGAATCTGGGCTGAGCCGTTGTAGGACCAAACAACAATTTGAGTTATGCGCACGGTACCTCGAGTAAAAGCCGCTAGGATAAGAGCAGCAACTCCTTTGCCCAACTTAGTGCCGAGGAGTTCCTGATATTCGATGCTACCGCGCAGAAACTTCTTACAGGGCACCTCCCCGGCGTCTGACCATAAAGTCCCTTTTCTAGGGTAGAGTACTTGCTCTATATATGGTGCGAGCTCGTCGTTTATAACGTTTGTAAACATGACATGCCTCAGGGTATCAATGTTGTAGTCGTTTGTATATAAAGCCTGAGCAATAACGTTCCAATGCTGACCCCCTTTTCTCCAAATACTTTTGCCAATGATGATTCCTCGTCCAATAAGATGCTCATGACTGCTCCATGCATTTTCATTTTCTGGTCGATCCACGTAGACGTGAAACCGCCGAAGGCTCGTATAGCGGTACTGATCCTCACCTCTGGGGATATTTGTGCTCGAAGGGTCGCCGCCTTGGAGTTCCACGGGATCGTCCGCGGTCATGTCGTATTCCTTGTGCCAACTTTCTTCATAGTTCGTTGGATCATTCTCAAGCTCGTCTAGAGTTAGCCATGAGCGATCAATCGGACAATCCGGCTTGTTTGGGTCATCAATCCAAGCTTGGAAATTGGCGCCTAATTCTCGATACTTGGCAATCTTCTCTTTGGTCGGCTTGCGAGGATCCGGAGTTTTTTCCGGCTGAGGAGCCGGCCAAGGAGAGTCCGGCCGAGGAGCTTTCGGCCGAGGGGACCCCTCACGGGAGGTTCCAGGACTCCAGCTCCAGTAAGGGACCTGATCTCTACTGGAGCTGGCTATCGGTGATGGAGAATGGTGGACCGGGGATGGTGGGTCGGAGCGCACGCGCTTACTCGGTGTGCTCAACCCAGAGACGCCCCTGTGTGAAGAGGAACCCTGCTGTCCCTCGACATATTCGGGGTCTTCCTCCTCCTGTAAGCGCCGACGCTTCCCCTTCGAGTTAATACTTGGCCTTGGGCTGTTACCGACTTCTTGAGGACCTTCCCCATTGTCCTCGTCCATGGGATCAGTTTGATTGTTAGGTCCTCTTTCGCTGAGGTTAGCTTCATTCCTCGCATGCGTGAGGCCTGTGGAGGAAGCCTTTGATGAAGTTCTTGAAGGGGGAAGAGGTGGGTAATTCTCTCCTTCCTCGTTCTCTTCTGTTTGCTCGTTCTCCTGGTTCACTTCTCCATTGTCCTGGGGACCAACATTCTGCGGAATGGCTTGACGCTGGCCATTACCTTGATTCTGACGTGTCGATTGACGTGGGCGGTTGGATTGGGATGGGCCTTCGGTATTAGCTCCTTCATCGTCACAATGGCACATGCTCCCCAAGCGCCCCAAGCACTTCACCTTGCCGCAAATCTTCTTGAACATTTTGGCGATGATCAGTTATATTGCTTGTATAATATTCAAACAAATAAAAAGAGATGAAACAAAGTTATGGTGTTGGTATAATGTGACAACGTAGCTTCTGTGTTGGAAAACGACGAGAATGAGGCATATTATATAAAACTGGAGCAGTGCAATCTTGCTTAACTTCGTTTCCTTTGAGTCGAGTAAAAAGCAAAACGAAAATAGGAACACTAATTATAAGAATGAATTGAGATTGTAACAAAGACTCGAACAATGAAGACGACAATAACTATACAAAAGCAGCTCGAGGTCCAGATAAAGAGGCTGAAACACGAGTAGGTTGGAGAGTAAATAACATTGATGGTAGGTAGACAAATGAGGTTTATTTACGGGTGAAAGACGTTCCAAAATTCCCAAATATCATACCATGAGGTGACAAGGACAAAGAACACACTCTCATCCAGCTTCTCGAGCAGTCCATTTCTCGCTATGGTGACCATTGCCTATTTTTTGCAAGCTCTGAGCATTCATGTAACTGGAGTATTTCTGTTCAATGATTTTTTTGTCCTGTTTTTTTGTGAGGTAGACGGAGCGTAGAGATCACACTATATACCGAGGTGCTGTAGGGCAACATGATACATGACAAGTCGAAAAGGAGAGGGACGTACACCTTCGCCGCTCAATCATATTTCAAATTATCATTCAAGATAGACTGCAATTCAAGCATGCAAGATAATTGGGGAAATGGTTGAGTCTGCTATGCATGGAGGGATCAAAATTACTAAACCCGGATAGCTATACCCGGCCACCAGAATATCGCAGACTGCCAATGCTCTTCATTACGTGGACAAAAGACTTTCACTTTCCCATATGAGTTACGCAAATACTACCATGCAACTTTTCTATCTGCGTTACCCCTCGCCACCACGATTGCTTGAGGGGTACCTGCAGGAAGTGACTAGACTATGCATATGCACCGCAGTAGTACATACATATAAGACAACGTCGAGACCGTCGACGTAGCGCCACAATGGAAGCATATTGGTGCAGACACGTTTTCCAGGATCCCACGGAGGGATTTTTGATGACATGCATACAATCGGCCCCCACATGGACGAGAGATTTTGAGTTTCGATTTCCAGCCTTGCATATGAAACAGCACGTAGAAGGCCTGATGAGAAGTAGCTCTGCATTGGCTCACTTTTCTATGTGTGTTGGTATTACAGCGAAAGTTATAATCTATGTAAAGTAATTTCTAGTGAAATTGGATTTAAGTACTGAGAAATACTAGGCCTCAGTTGATTTCGTGAATCTCATTTGAAACTCTTGCGGAATTTCAATTACATGCCCCACTTGAAGGATTCTCTCGCATTACAGTATTTGGTATCCGAACGGACTAGTACCAAGTAAATCAATTGACATGTTCGGTTCGAGTGTTGAAAGGTCTCTTTTTCTTGCCAGCCTATTACAAGTGGGGCATTCCGAATTGATCCGACTCACCCTACGAAACTGGAGACTCCGGCAAAGAACTTATCTGCCTCTTTCTGAGCTTAAGGACCCCGCCGTCTTTCCAGCTTGCTGTCGATCAGCAAGTTTTCAACGGCCTTTTCGCTGAGTTTTGGACCCGCGTTTCGAAATCTCTCCCTCTATCACCATTCTCATTTCAACCGTGCCAAATTCTGCGAAATGGCCCGTATCCTGATCACAGGTTCTACGGATGGCTTTGGCCTTGAGGCTGCCCGTCAGCTGGTTCAGCGTAATCACACCGTCTATCTTCATGCGCGTAGCCAAGAGCGCGCAGATGATGCCAAGGCAAAATGCCCTGGAGCTGCTGGCGTGCTGATTGCAGACTTGACAAGCGTGACGGAGACGCGCAAACTGGCCGAAGAAGCAAACGCGATTGGTACCTTCGACGCCGTCATTCTTAATGCCGGATTGCTTTACGGCCCTTTCCGCAAGATGCCAGATACTGGCGTGCCAGCTATGGTCTTCGTCAACGTTCTCGCACCCTATATTCTTTCTTGTCTCCTTAAAAAACCCAAGCGTCTTGTCTTTATCTCTTCCATCCTACACCGAGAAGCCAACACGAACGTGAAGGATATTTTCTGGTTTGAGCGTGGGGAAAAGGAATTCCAGGATTTCCCAGCATACTGCGATTCGAAGCTTCACGTTATGCTTCTTGCTAATGCGGTGGCAAGGCGGTTCAATGGCACTTCAGTCACGGCTGTGCATCCTGGATATGTTGCTACCAAGCTTGGAGGTCAAGGTGCTACCGACAAGCTGGAGGATGGCGTCGAGACATACGTCATGCTGGCCGAAGGTGATTACGATCAAAGTCTCACCGGTGTATATTTTGAACCCAAAAAGAAGATGGGTGAACCTCTTGAAGTGACAGGCGACGAAAATTTGCAGGAGGTCGTCGTCAAAGCTTGCGAGGAGGTCACCGGTCTTAAGCTAGAAGCTTAAGTTTGGCATATCGGCACCCATTCATAATTGGCATCCATCTTGTAGAACAAACATTCAATTATTCTAAAACTCGTTGAGTTTCCAAAACCTAGGCCCGGGCATACTGGGCCAGCTCCAATTCATGAAATCGCTGTGTCCTTCATAACTATTACTTAGGATCACATTGATAGAGGGGGAAGCCTTGCACGTAAGGCTAGAAAGTAGCGATTTATCGGAGTGTTAGGTCATGATTAGTGAGCTGGTAACCCAATAGATCAAAATCGTCCTACTCCTCCTTCTAGTATGTATATCGAGCCATCGAGGAATGAATTAACGGCATGTCATTGCTCTGTCACGAGCAGCTTGTATATATTTAGATTTAGTATAGTGTAGCGATGAAACCAGTGACAGTAGCACATTAGCAGTCTTAAAGGGCAGAATGCCTGGGAACATATTCAGCTCAGTTTACTCTGCAAGAATAGCCCATGATCCATGCGCCACAATATGACTGACTACCTTCTCTCAGGATCATTGACCTCACGACACAGTATCAGGTCAAGTGGTCTACGCTATAGGAAGCTACCGTCTACAATTCATGCCCGGGATGGTTCTAAGGAGATGAACGAGTCGGTTTCTTCAAGGTGGAGATTACGTCGTCAATAGTGGTGGATGTTCCACTCACAATCAATGCGTTTATCAGATACAATTCTGGTAGAGTGGATTGAGAAAAATTGCATATGTCCGATGGTATCACCAAACAGGACTTGTCTGCTTGGAGTCTTGTTCCGAGCCAGCTGCTCTGGAAGATGATGGTCCATATCGCGATCTGGTAATGCTTTGAAAGTCGGGATAACCCTTTTTGAAATCAGTTGATTTGCGCAATGGATCGCACCTTTTTGATCGAGAGTGATGCAAAATATTGGATTGTGGCGGAAGATGTTGTCATCAGACACAGTCTTGCATTACATGTGAGCCGCATCTCAGAATAAACCTTGAAATCATGCATGCTGAATACAAAATCCAGGAAACCAGAACAATGGCTCTCGGCAATCGCGCATCTTCACTGATCCATGAACTACATACAGTATTGCCAAATATGCATGCACTAATGCCGTTTATGGCGTAGTCTATCAGAACGGATCTGCCCGAGGATCGTCCCTTGATCCACTCAGCGACACGGGGAACAAAAGGAAACCCTAACAAAGCACAAGGCACTCGTAGTCATTTAGTCACACACCGAGGAAACCTTGTGAAACACTTGTGTTATGTGGGCTACCATTCTCATCCAATTCCTTTTTCCGGTTCTGACTACTGTCGAATTTCGGATGTGGATGTTTCGAAAAATGCCTGTAATGTCTACGCTTCGATAATCATGGCTGCCTTCAACCTTTATAAAGTGCATGCATATCTGTCAATTGGATATAATACAAAATTCATGTGACAGATATTTCAATTCATAAAATACCCCGGTAAACAAATCGTTAGGGGCATACTCAGAGCCGTATTCAACCGCGACAACCGCAGCGCATGAAAACGACCCGCAAGCAATACACAAAAGAAAACTTTAGGCGCTCGATCCCTCTTCGCTTCCATGGGAATAAGAATGAGAAGGATTAGCAACAGAAAGCTTCCTTTTATCATTCCCACCCTTAACACGACCAATACCAACCATCTGAAGAACCTCTCTCCAGAACCCAGTCGGCGGGTCAAGGAAACTATCCTCATAAGCATCGAGAAGGGGTCTCTCCCAGACAAGGTCGGCTTCGTGGGCCTTAACGAACTTTGTCTTCTTGATGACCTTCCAGATGAGGAAGAGAGGGGGGATAACGATCTGCATGGTATAGTCTGACCAGAAGGTTGAAACGGACCAGGGCTTGTAGGCTGGATAGCCGTAGACGCATGTCACGATGATCATCCAGACGAAGGCGATGTATGCGGTGTAGGGTTGGAACCATGCGAAGTAGGAGAAGGATCTGCGGTCTAGGCCTTGGGCTTTGCAGGCGCGGTGGAAGAAGATGTATGTTAATGTGATGGTGATGTAGTTGATTAGTCCTAGATTCATGTTAGTAATTGTGTGATGCCTTAAGTTGAGACTTATTTGATTGGGTCTTCTTACCTCCGGCAGTGACCAGGTTGGCGAACCACGTGATGACGATGGAGGAGCTGCTGGAACATTGGAGGAAGGAAAGCATTGGGAAGATCATCACGATGAAGAAGCAGTAGATTGGGACACCATTGCGCGTGGTGTGAGTGAGGATTCTTGGGGCTCTTCCGTCAAGGGCTAGACCGTAGAGAGTACGGATAGCGCAGTAGGTGTAAGTATTACCAGCGGAGAAAATGGAAGTGAGCAAGAGTCTAATTCAATGTCAATATAAGGCACAGTCGAGGCTGTTCATTTGTACTTACGCATTCACAATGGAAGGGAAAATCTTAATGCCCATGTTGCGCATGCCAATGACATATGGGGATGCAGCAGCCGAACCGGAAGAACCGCCTGTCACAACCTCAACCAGAGCTGGGTCTCTTGCAGAACAGATAATACCGACAGCCAAGGCACCACCGATGAAGAAAAGACCGAATCGGATATAGACGGTCTTGAAAGCGTTCTTGATGTAAATTCGAGGGCGCTTGGCTTCGGCAGCGACCATCGAAATGTACTCGGGGCCCACGACAGCGAAGCAAGCTGACCACAGAGATCCTAGGAAACCTTCAAAGCGGCCGAGAGCGCCGGTGTCCAGGTATTCCATGAATGATCCTGGATTGTTCCAGTTACGGAAGCCGTATGCATCATGCTGTGGGTTTCCACCGACCATTGTGATGAAGGTGAAGAAGAATAGAGAGAAGATCAGGATGACCTTGCCGCCTGATAGCCAGAATTCAGCTTCACCATACGCCTTGACAGCAAGGATGTTAAGACACCTGTGCGAAGGTTAGAGTCTAGATGAAAAGGGTGGCTCCCGCGAGGGAACAGACAAGCCGGTCTGCTGGCTGTCATAATATCTTACCCATAGCAAATAATAACTCCAGCACAGATACCAGCAACTGGGCCAGGTTCCGTGATCACATCACTCCAGAATGACAGCACCAGTGTAAAGGCCGAAATTTCAAATGGAATCAAAAGAGCCTCGTAGAAGCTACATACAATGTTAGTAAAATTAGTCCAATAACATTGTATCAGACGAGATAAAAACGGACAAAAAGTTCCAGCCGACCATAAAGCCAAGAGCATCGTCTACCCATTTTCCAGCCAAGCGAATAAAACCACCGCTAACAGGGAAAGCGGTAGTCATCTCAGCAAGACAGTTGTTAACCATGGCCAAGAAGATACTCTGAACCGTGAAGGCGAGGAACAAGCTTCCGGGACCGCCGTGGTAGAGACCAGAACCAATGCTCACGAAGAGGGCAGTTCCGATAGAACCGCCAATTGCTATGAGCTGGATTTGACGGTTTCCAAGATGACGCTGGAGGTTGTCGACATTTGATGCCATCACACCTTCCTGCACATCCCGGGGACCTTCGGACTTCAGCCCTATGGTCTCTAACACCCCGGCGCTTGTCTCCTTGTCTTTGTCGTTTGAGAAAGTCATGTTTGCATTCCTTTTTTCTCTGTCTGTTTTGTCAATCTGTTGATACGGATGGGCAAGGCGCAGTCGATCAAGAAGCTAGAAATGGCTAGGTCAAAGTGTGGGTTGCCGCTTATCGGTCTGGCGCATGGGTCTGTAGATAATGGTCTGGGCTGATCCGTTACTGCGAGGGGAGATGATTTGGCGCGAGGGTTCCGGGTTGCTGCGTTGTGGACTGCGATACTGTTGCAATGGATGCTGGGTAGGCGCAATGGAAATTGTCGGTGGTCTCGGCTGGGGAAGTCTGGGGTAGAGGCATACAACGACGATACCTTAGGTGCAGTGTTGAGAAAACAAAGAACAGAAGAATCGTAGTGCTTGAAATAAGAATCTTGGAAGGAGCCGGGATTTCAACTGATGGTGAGATCGAAAATATTCCCTATCTCAGAATCTCAAATAGACATCTCAGATAGGAAAAAATAAGAAGTGGCTTGCCGGCTATAACAGGGGTTTTAAGAGAGAGTGAAAAGTCAGTTAATTTGCGTTCGAGCCGCCTTACACCAGATACGACATTAGCCTGAGTGAAAAGCCAGTTAAATGCAGACCCAGCCGAAGCCCCTGTCAGCCATTTGACGAATCCCTGTTTTTAGTTGCCCTGGTCTGCCATGCAATTGGTTGGAATTACACTTCTATCAACGTCCCCGTGCGGGCTGGGACGCTTCTGGGGGTTATCCCCTATCAGGACACGAGGCTGTCTGGGCGCCATGGATCGGGCGGCTTGGGGCGGCACGTGGCGTAGACGCTATGATGCATATTAGAGGTGCGCTGGATCCCACTGCCGGAAGGGGCTAAGGGGGGGATCTGTACGTCGCATTGGGATGGAAAACTTCTCGACGCTTGCAGTCGGGGCCGGACACCCCGAAACTAGGTTCTCGGCGTGCACGGATCCCCCCAGAAGGGTGGCGCAGCCATTGCCTCTCTGAGTTTATGCCTATACACACTCTGGGAACTTGCCACAGGGGAGTGGCAGACGTAGCCGATAATACTTGGTTTAGACATAAAATTGTTGAAAGCGAAAATTCTTCTCAAATCTGGGGCGAAAAGAAGGAAGGAAATAGCAAAAACGGCAAGTCTGCCGTGCAAAGAGGCGGACTTGCGGCCTCAGGCCACACCTTGACTGTCGCGTGCCTTTGACTGTGCCACCTTTGAATTCTTTATTGTGATCTCCATTTATATTATCCGATCGTAGGCTGATCAGGTTGCTCAATTTTATTCTCTAGAGTGTGCTGTACCATTGTGAAAGCAATCCTCGGCATATACTTGAAGCTTCTCATCTCTTGAAGCTTGAACCACAGTTGTCGGTCACGCTTACTATGCCAATCTCCCATGTGTTCTTCTTATCAGAGATTTTCACGATGTAATGATTTGGGCCCTTTTTTATTGTCTTCAAATCAAACCTCGATAGGCTTCAATTAAGGCAGAGCCTCTGCGTTGGCCATATACTGTCCAACGCTATTTCTGGTTAACAGGAGTATCTGTAGACCTATAATGGTACACAAAAAAGCTTAGAAGTTATTTCGGTAGGCTCATAGCTTGTGTTCGGAGTATCTTGAGAAATTGCCTCTGCCAAAGGGATTCTCTGGCTCCGCATATCACCTTGTGAAACCTCATGAAAAGGTAAGACAAAACCTAGACTTGATCTTTTGTGCGAGTGTATTGCTCCACTTCACCTTTTTGCATGAAGAGTAGCTATCTAAATTGATAATGTACCTAACATTGTGCCGCATTGGTTTGCTGACTTACACGCAGAGCCTGCTCTCTCAGGCCTTGATTTGCTCTCTTTGCTCCTCACTTTTGAGCTGTTATCCCCGCACATATCAAAACGCAAATAACCTAAACTGGCCTTGGCCTTCGTTCTCATTCGTCATCTGTGGTATCATAGATCCTGAGCAAACGCACCAATCCGCTTCGGCCTGGCCATATCTATGCACTAGTTAATTTGTTATAGTAAGAGCAGTAATTGATACATGAGTGTGATACACCATTTCATGAATAAATATTGATTTAAAAGCCATCACTGAAGATGAATATAATGTAGACGGTCCTACAGAGTATTTGATGGATGGTTTGCAGTAACGACTTAAGCACCAACCGCCCAAAATTTGAAGCCTCATATAGCTCTATACCTTCCGATCTATAAATCCAGTACCTTCAGGCATGACATACAGTACACATGCCAGTATCAACGACGATACAAAGCAGCGAATATACAACGAGCAATTAACAATTAACCTCGGGACCCACCTGGGCAGTTGTATGACGTCACGCTGCACAACCAAGCTGTCATCCAATGTGCTTTGCAGGTTCAAATACCGGAAACCCCAGGAATCTACGCCTATTTAACTGTCAACTTCAAATCAACTTCCTTCACCCTTTCCACAAAGCACAAACCGCACCTACAATACCACCATGTCTTTCCTCACATCCATCCGCGCATCCCGCCAGGCTCTCCGCACCAATTACGCCATCACCTCCACTTTCCACACTTCAGCAGTGCGCAGCTTGAAGGAGAATGACAAACGTCAGTTGGACCCCTAGAGCACACGGTAAACATAAGCATCCATACTAACGACCTCCTAGACCGCGAGGACCTCGCCACCCACTACGAATCCCACAAGCAAGAGGTTGTCAAGGATTCTAAGGAGGGTAAGGGGAAGTGGAGGGCTGAACTGGCGAGTAGCAGCGAAGAAGATGTAAGGATACCCCCAAAGTCTACAGTGTGGATCCAGTCAGAGCTGACATGTTGTGGTATTCTAGGTGAAAGCGGATCGTGGTTACTTTGATGGCGAAGATATTACTTTCGAAGAGATGCAGAAGAAGACGAAACAGCGTCTCAGCCAGCAGGGTTCTGGGAAGAAATAAGTGAGAGTTAAGCTGTTCTGTTGCTATTCCGTCGCGCTTTAGGTTTTCTTTCTTGCGTAACATGTATTCGACGGCAGTTCGCCAGTGAGGTTCTCTTATTGAGGGATACTTTATCAAATGTATCGTATTTACCAATTTACCAATGATAATTTGAAAGCACAAGTCGTGTCAGAGTGTTGTTGCATTGGAAGGAAAGGATATAATGAATGATAGAATCGTAGATGTAGTATGATCAAGAACTCAAGAGGAGTCTAGAAAACGACTCGAGTGTTTCAACGCCAGAAACGAACCAAAACAAAAAAAAGTCGAAATCAATCGGCCCACCGCATGTAGCTAAAGCAACGCCCGCTCGCCAGAGAAAGAACAGCACCAGAATAACAAGCCCAGATCCCATACGTAGATGTAGGTATCATTTCAGAATTACGATCAGAATAACCAGTATAATGATCAACCCAATGATAGTCATCATACTCCAGTTCTCACCAGCCTTGCGCCGGATTTTATCTATCCGCCGTCTCGCACCATCCAACCGAGTCTGATGACGCTCGACGTCTCCATCCATCCCGTCCAGCAGGGCAACGTGGCCATCAAGCTCATCCCCAATTTGGATACTTAGCTGGTGCTGCCGACCAATAGACTCGCCAAGGCGATCCAGCTGGTCATCCTGGTCGCGCATGGTTTGCTGGTGGTGGTCATAGATTTGCTGGTTATCCATAACGGACTGGTCCGGACGTGGCGGTGAAGGCTCATCGCGATATGGGCGGAAGAGATTCTGACGATCGCGGTTTTCTTCTTCGTCTATTTCATCTTGCACGGCGGCGGCAGCGGCGGCGGAGTTGTCCATGAATCGAACGGATTTAGAAGGAGGGTGTTGGGGGATCGGCTGCTTCAGATCGGGCGATGTGGCGTTCGGTGCCTGCACCGTGTTGTTTTCCGACGGTTCACCGTCTGCGCCATAGAACTGGGTTGATAGGTCTTGGTATTGGGCTTGGAGTGGGCCGAGTTGGTCTTTCAGGGCGGCGGCGCCTGCGCTGTCGTTCGAGTTGACCAGACGGGTTTGCTCGGCTTCCACGGCTTCTATTCCCTCGCGGAGGGACTCGAGAGACCAGGAGATCTCTCCATCTTGAGAATTGGGCTCGAGATCAAGTGAAATCGCTCGTTGGCGCTCTAGGAGGGATAGTTTGATGTGATCGGCGAGCAGGAATAGCTGGGAAGCGGTCGTCATAGTGTCGGGATGAGAAGACTAGCGGTCTGTATGGTATATGATGGATCGGAGGCGTGTGGACGGTCAATACGGAGAAAGACCTCCGATCAGCCAGACAAAAAAAGGGTTCAGGGTTGAGATGTTGACAGGTTGAGTTGGGGTGAGACGGAGATGCAACAAGATGACCGAGTGCGGATCAACCGCCCTTCCGCCTTTCGCCTCTCCTCCCCGCAGTCCACCTCCTTCGGCTTGAATATGTCTACGTATTTGTATTCTCTCGCGAAGCCTTACACAAACTACTCCCTGATCTAGTGGCATACTCATGGATCCAAAGTGCTTGCTGGTCTACCTCGGTACCTAGACCCGCCCCCATCATCTGCACGTTGCTGCATGGACCCGCGCGCTGATTCCGCATACTTGAGCAGCAACATAGGGAAAAGGAGCATACATACCCGTGCATCGCAAGGTTTGCCTGAGTCTTTGAATAGGCTCACACCAGCGCATCATGAATCTACAAGAATTCCTGGCTATGGAGGACAACTGCGACCGCGATGAGCTAATTGACCTTCGCGGCCTGGATTTCGTCTCCGACTACGACTCGCACCTCATGTGTCCGATCTGCCACTGCCCCTTCGTCGACCCCGTCCGTCTACAATGCGACCATGTCTTCTGCCAGAGTTGCCTCAGTTCGGCCATCAACACCTTCCGCTCGGCCGATTCGGATGAGTTCCCGTGTCCCTCTTGCCGAACCCCCACCCGAGAGGTGTCGACCAGTGTACCCCGCTTGCTGATCAACATGTGCGACGAGATCCGGGTGCGATGTCCGTTGATAACGGAGGGGTGTCATGAGATCGTACCCCGGGGTCATGTCCAGTCGCATGTTGAGAAGTATTGTGGGTATCGGCTGGTTCCGTGTCCGGATGATTCTTGCGATAGGTTGATTCGTAGTAAGGATATTGGGATAGATGGGAAATGCATACATGTGCTGCGCCAGTGTCCCCGCTGTGAAGAGGATGTTATGGAGCAGGATTATGAGGTTCGTCATCTTGCATATGGTCTTGGCGGTCTACAGATACTGACTCGGGATACTGGTATAGGAGCATGACAAGGATCTTTGTCCTGTTTTAGTGACCAATTGTGTCGACTGCGAAACAGTTGTCTCTCGGAAGGCATTCAAGGAACATGTTGAAGCATGTCCGGAAGTTATTGTCCCCTGCGCGGCAGCGAAATACGCATGTCCTGTCAAGGTCCGTCGCGCAGACATTGCAATGCATGAGCAAAGCTGTCCACTGGTCACAATGATCCCGTATTTTGAGGTGCAAAACACACGACTCAATTCCTTGGAATTAAGTATGCGACATCTGCAGCAGCGGAATGAGATCTTCGAGGATGGGCTCGCCAACATCCGGTCCACTCTCGTCGAATCCGCGCGTATTGGCTCCAGTGCTCCCAGTGGACAATCCGTCAATTCTGGAAGAGAACAGTCCTCTACCCGCGCCGAAGCAAACACAGATCCTACGGATATATCCTCGAGTGTATTCTCATCCAACGCCACAACCTATCTACTCTCACTCCACGAATCTCTACGCGAGGAAGTAGAGCAAATAAGACACAACCTCACCGACCTAGACGCCCGCGCCAGCATGGCTCTGATGAACGAGTGTATACGCATGAAGGAAGACATGGCCCATACGAATGCCGCGGTCAACAGTGTCCGGATGCAAGTGCAATGGCTTATGAACCCCCGGCTCCATGGGACACGTACAGGAGCTGTCCGGGCCAATACGGGCGGCAATGAAACTCCTCGATCGCCGCTACCTTCGTCGTCGACAGCTGGGTCAAGCAGTACTACTGCGCAGTCTCTAGGGCCCCTTCGACCTAGGAGGCCTAGTGATAGTGGACGTGAGGGAACCAAGCTATGAACTAGACTTGACGTGTGATTTTGAGCGATGCATTTTTTATATGGATGCCGAAGGAGTATTGGGACGTTTTTGTATTCCTTTTATAGTTATGACATGATGATTAGTTGTTGGGAGCGTGGCTCTTTAATACAGTTGGCCGATATAGACCTTTTTGGTTGTTCCGATAAAGATTTATATTTATTTGATGTTAAGAGAAGTCTACTTTCTCCCCTGTTCTTGCGTACAGCACTCAGACTGAAATATATATTTCGTCAACCGCATCTAAAAGAGCACCGCACACACTTGCGCTCCCCAATAGTAAGATAAAAAACCAACTCTATTATTTGCAACCACACTCTACTGTACCGACGCCCAAAATGTCAATTCACCCAATCCTCGAAAATAAACTCGATAGTCATGAAAAACAAAAGCAAAAAAAAGAAACGCTCACTCGTGGACGGTGTTTAGGAATAGCCGAACGCGGGGGTCGAACCCGCAGCCTTAAGATTAAGAGTCTTACGCTCTACCGATTGAGCTAGCCCGGCCGGGCTGTTGAAGACCGATGGCCTATCATGAATAATATCGAAGACAAGAGTAATTCAGCACTCTTTCAACGAGTCAATTACGGCGGTATTCAACCTGGTAAATGCAGATTGTTTTGAGCGTTCAGAATTCAAGAGCCCGCCAGATGATTTTTCTTCACGCATATGCATTAGGGTTCCATATCATGAACCCACGCTAGTATTTGTACTGAGACCTGATGTACTTGCGGGTCTCACATTCTGAACGCTCCAGACAATCTGTGTTTGCCGGGTTGAATATCGATCATTGAATTGCCGTCGTTTGCAAGTCACAACCAAGGTGTAGGCGACTGTGAGATGCCAAAGAGTTCGATTATGGACTCAGTCCACGGGTTGGTCGGACTAGGGCGCGATTCTGATCTACCTGGTTAGGCACGTGTATCTATCCATTGCTCAAGAGAATGGGATAGGGTAGTTGTTGAAGGCAGGAGAGTGAGAAAGGAGATGTGAGAAGAAGATGGGGAAAGGGGCGAGGAGAGAGAGGGGTTAGGTGGAGTTCAATCGGGGTAGTGTAGGCGACAGGGGTGCAACGTGGCTTACTTCACTTTCTTAGTTGTAGGCTTCTTTTGGAAGCTCTAATATTTTTGAATGATTCTGGATCTCAAAGCTGCGAAATATAACACTGTCCTTCATGACTGTCATCAACCCCCCTACTCATGCACGATCTCGTGTCATACCTTTTATCAGATCCCAAAAAGACCACAGACCGGTCCGTGTTAAAGATTCTACGTTGATTTCAAAGCCACGGTATAGAGAATATGAAGTATCCAAGTACAATTCATGGATATTTTATGAAATCTATCCTTCCGCAAGCAGAGCGAAACCTAAGAAAACCCCATCATTGTCCCGCAATCTTAGGCAAAGAATGCCTCGCCAGCGAGACCAACTTCTCAATGAAAACCCGTGCCAGATAAAATGGCGGGAAAGTCTGTCCTTCATCATTGGGCTTGTTTAGTTCAGCGAAAAGCCTCGCTATATCCTCCAAAGTCTTCAAATCCCTGGTGAATGTTGCAGAAGTTGGGAATGTGATGAGATACCAGAAGACGGAGAATACAGCTGCGAGGAGGAATTGGGCATGGATCCTATCAAAACATGAGTTAGTATATCGGGTTTGGGTGCGGGTTGAAGCTTCCTACCAGAAGGTATGATGGTTCACGAATTGGCGGACTCGCCATATATAGATTAGGGAGGATCGTGCGGCTTCAAAGCATAGCTCTGCACTCGAAGGGAGGGGCGACCAGCTTTGTGGGGATGCTATCCTGCAAGAACTGCTCGCTCCGTGAATCTTGCCTAGACAATAATAATATTCCATGTGAATGTTTACACCACGGATACTGAGATCGTGGAAGAGGTATTCCGGTGCGCTCTCAGTCGCAAATGCATCTGGCCGACAGTCGACAGGATAACCTTGTTTCAAGTCACTCAATTCTTGATCTAGTTCGCGGATATGTTGAAGGCGTCTTGCTTCGGGCAGGGCTAGACCATGCACTGAATACAAAAGCCGGAAGATCTTCGACTTGAGCAAAGAAAAACGGAGATCTGATGGGAACAGAAGCTCCTTAGATGATAATGGTTTCATGTAAAAGTGGCGTTCTGATGTCTTCTGGGCGTATGTCGTAGGCAGATCCAAATCACAGTCGTCATCGTTTATCAAAGGTGGTTGGGATTTTCGGATGGAGAATTCTTTGTCGATGGCATAGCAATGCCAGAATAGAGCTCGCAGATGCTGGCTGCGCTGATCTGTCCGGTGTATCTCATGGGGTGTTTGTATTCTGTTTGCACCGAGATTATAGATAAGCTGCACTGCCACACCAAGGAGTAGTTCTCCTGCTTGGGGTCGGCCAAGAGGAGTGACATAGAGCATCTGTAGCACACAATAAGTTTAGGCGTGAGGGAAAAACAAAAGAAGACTATGTGAAGAGCTTACCATAATTGTCACTGCTTCTAGGGTCCTCAGGTCAGGAGGTTCCAGCATGACTTCAGGGAGAAGTGTTAGCGCTGCTTGCATATAAGCATCGGGATCAGAGCCGGCAAAGGCATTCTCATGACGATGAATTTGAGTGATCATTGCAGCAAAGGCAGCCAGACAAGCCCGGTTAGAAGCACGAGTCATGCTTGGCGGCTGGTCTAGAGTATTTGCATTGAGGAGAATCTGCATAGCCTCGACATCGACAATTGGAAATATGGAATAGAGCCCATTCCTGTCAAAGTACTCCAGGCATCGCTGAACCAGAGCAGATGCCGGCCACTTCAACCCAATGGACTTTCTCGATGACTTGAGATGTTGTGATTGGAACAACTGAGTGACCTCATGTGCAAAAACGTCCATATTGAATGTGCACCCCGTCTGCTGTTGAATGAGCGAGTAGAATGCTGCTCTTTGGGTCGAAAGAGGACTTCCGAGCCCACAGTATGAAACATGCCATTGAAACGCAGCCAACGCGGTATCAAAATCGCGTGTATCAGGCAGATAAGTCACTGCTGAAGATGTGTATGAAGAAGCCTGGGAAAGCGGACTGAGCGGCACCGGGGAAGTACCTCTGCTAGGGGGCACCAGCCCACTGTGGCTATGTTTAGTGTGTTCTCGAAATGCAACAAGTTTCGCCTCTAATTCCCGGACACGCGCTTTGGTGTCGGCAAGCTCCCTGGTGCATCCGTTAGCGCTTGTCTTGAGGAAAGCCTAGTGGCGGTCTCACTGCCGAGTACTCTTCCGGAGCTGAGTTGCCGGTGGAGAGAATGTACACGGAAGTCCTGCAAGATGACAATTTTCGCATGCTGGCTCGTTCCTATCACATTTGATCTGGGCAAGTATCATCATTAGGGGGTTGTGCATGTAAAGTGCGTGCGTGGCCATACCTTCCGATGTCGACATAGATCGCAGGCACTCCGCCCTTTCCCGCGTGGGCCAGTAGTGTCATCCATAAAAGCGATTAGGCTCGATAGTGATCCTGTGTCCGGTGAGGCACTGGATGTCCCAATGGGGAGACAAATGGTGAATTGTTACTGGAGGTCGGAGTACGACGCTGCTCATCGCCGCTGAATCATCAGCCTATTTTGACAGTGTCGAGCCTATTGCAGAGCCAAGTTCCAGCTCCAATTTCCATCCACCACTGAGATTGTCGCAGGTGGAACGCCAAGGCCATTTTTGCTTGCGTTGCGTCAAGATTTAGTGTGATGAGTCAGCGGGGAGTCAACCCTCGAAGTTTCATGCTTTTATATTGGCTTGCATTAGAAGATATTAGGCAAATACTGGAATACGGGGAAGAGAGAAAAGACTGAATGTATAAATCTATATAGACTGAATATGGATAATACACACGGGTGGTTGTGACTCTAGATGGCTATACTACCTACCATCTATAAGAATCAGTATAGAGTCTGCACCCCCTCCGTGCTATCCGTGCAGTATGGACCATTGTCTCGATTCCTAGTAGCCATACAGTATCCACGTACATGTAACTGCTGCGCCTCGGCCTTAGCGTCGGAAACATACCGGCCTTTTATGTCATCTTTATGCCATTTTTACGGGCATACAGCGTTCAAATGATGAACCTTCTTCTGCTTATTGAATCAAACTCCGGACTTTCTCATCCACATTTGAGCTGACAAGAGTGCTGTACGAGGTATTAGGGCCATTGCATATACACGAGATAAAACCGCCCTCGGCAAGTATTGAAGACAACAGACCTTGGGACCATCTGACCTTGTTTGCTATTCCTCCCACCGCTCCTCCACATTGAGTGTTTCGAAGTACCATACTTACCCACACTGGAAGCCTTGGCTGCAGATCACAGAAGCCACAAAGTCAGGTACCAAACTCTCATTGCTCCTATAGGTCCACCTTCCCGGTGCTTGTCTTCGAGGTCCAATGGACATGGCCTTGTTCGTCAGCCCAATTTGCTGCAGAATCTTAGGCGTCGTCACCACGTATCTAAATAGACGCAACTTGATTAGACGATTGCTTGCCAAGAAGGCATATTTTCATCCACTACTGCCCCTAGATCACCATCTGGCTGACGACAACAATGACGACTCAGAAGCTGTTGATATTGACAAGAAGGACCTCCGAGCATGATTTATGATGGAAAATACGATATAAAGGCCCTCATTTCCTCAGTACCAGACTGAGTTATCAAACCGCAGAAACATTTCTTCTTACAACACTCAATTTCCAAACCTCTTCACTGAGCAATGCATTTCTCCAAGGTTGCGCTGTTTGCCTTGACTGGCCTCGCTGTGGCCCATCCCGGTGCCCACGACCACAGCTCTTACACCAAGGTCACCAAGAGGGACTTTTTGCAAAACGCCCGCCGAAGCCTCGACCAGTGTGCAGACCACCTGGAGCGTCGGGGAATCAACTCTCGCGCCGAAGCCCGCCGTGCTGCCCTCCTCAACGCCAACAAGAAGCGAGCCATCTTCCCCCGCGATACAGACAAGGTCGTGAACACCTCTCACCACTCCACCCTGAAGGTCACTTCCAACACCCCAGAGACAGACCTCTTCTCCCAGAACCCCACCTGCATCCTCTCCCCTGAAGGAGAAGTCGGACCCTTCTGGGTAAAGGGCGAGCTGATCCGCAACGACGTACGCGATGGCCAGGCTGGTATCCCAATCATTATCGACGGCCAATTCATCGACATCAACACCTGCGAGCCAATCCAGGACCTGTACTGGGACGTATGGAACTGCAACTCCACCGGCGTCTACTCGGGAGTCCAGAGCGACATGAACGGCAACGGGAATGACGCCACAAACCTGGACAAGACCTTCCTGCGTGGTATCCAGAAGACCGACTCTGACGGCGTTGCCCAATTCAAGTCTCTGTTCCCAGGTCATTACTCTGGCCGTGCTACCCACATCCACGTTATTGCCCATACCAATGCTCATGTCCTGCCCAACAACACTCTGACTGGTGGCCATATCTCGCATATTGGTCAGCTGTTCTTTGATCAGGATCTTATTACCAAGGTTGAGTCTACCTACCCGTACAACACTAGCACTGTGGCTATCACCGAGAATGGTGATGACCATGTTGTTCAGGTTGAGACTGAAGACTCGAACTCTGATCCTTTCTTTGAGTATGCTTATCTTGGTGACTCTATTGAGGATGGTCTTTTGGCTTGGATTACTATGGGTGTCAATGTGTCTGCTAGCCACGATTCGGATGCTAGCTATGCTGCTAGACTCACTGCTTCAGGTGGTGTGAGCTCAGGAAGCTCAAACTCTTTCTAATCAGTTTATCAGCCTTACCCCTCTTTCGCAGAGAAAGGTCCTATACCTGAAATCCCCCGAGGCCAGCTTTTGCTTTCGCCTCTTCAAACAGTCACAATTATCATACACTGTTTAGTCTATACTTTAACAAAGAATCACACTCCTTCTAGATGACTGCATAAATATCTTCAGACGAACGAACAGTTGTATGCCCACCTAAACTCGAGGGTAAAATCATACAATCCAAATATAAACAAAGGAACCAAGAACAGAATGAAAAAGAACAAGAACCTATCAACCTCCGAACAATCCATCCAAATCAACCCGACTTCGCAATATTAAGGTGGAAAACACCATCCCACTCACAACTCTCCAAAGGCTCCTCAGCTCCCTTCTCACACTTCCAAGACTCACCCTTCAAAGTCGACCGTCCACTCTCAGAGCCATCAGCCCGAGCAATGCCGAAGTCAAACTCCTCAATGTTATAAATCCCATTGGGGAGCTTGAGCTGGTATGCCTTATCTGTACAATTGTAGGACATATTTCCAGCTTGGCCGATTGACCTGAATTGAAGTTAGCTCTATGGAGTTCCACTTTTGATTTGTCTTCATTGCTGTAAACGTTAGGAGAGGTAGAAGGTTGATGTGGAACTCACCAGTAAGAAGAGCATTTTGTTTCAATGTTGGTGTTTGGGTCCTTCAGGGAAAAGCCGAAAAGTGTAGTTTGGGGCATTGTTGTGAAGGGGATTCTTGCGCTGACGTCGGTGAGCTCAAGAGGCTTTAGGGCTTGGGCTTGGGGGTTGGGCGCGGCCATTGTGGTCGCGGCGGCGGCCAGGGCGAGTGCGGACATCGAAGAGATCTTCATTGTTGGCTTGGTTCTTGCTTATATTGTCAGATACAATATTGTACTTTGAAGCTAGGGATGTGTAGTTGACTTGTTGATTTGAGGAGCATATTGCTGCTGACTTTCACCCTTTTATACTTCAACTTTTAACCCAGTTTACTCTTGCAGTTCAGCTGCCAGAGACAGACGCAAGAAACATCTACGTAATATCAAGGCTGTGTTTTTCTATTAAAGTAGAGTTACATTCAGGCTTTGAAACATTCAGTCGCCTGAGACCCCAGATGAACAAATAGCAACCGGTTGTAGGATCCCGTTGAAACAAAGCTGGGCGCCTCTACCGGACGCCTGACGGGGTAAGTGCTATTTAGAACATAAGGCCCCTAAATGGAATAAGCATTAATCCGCGCTTACTGTCGATTACTAATTCGTAAAATAAGAACAATATTCTAGGCAGTGACGATTGGCTCCGACGATTCGGCTTAGGCGTCCAGTCCACGAGGATGGATCGGATTAACACAATATGGCTTCTTTAGTGAACTACTAGAAAAAGATACTATACAAGTAGTATGCTTACAATCAAGTGACTAAAAGAAGAACGGGAAGGAGAGAAATGTGACATACAAGATGAAATACATAAAGGTAACAGAGGAAGTCGAATATGCACCTATATAGATAGGATAATGTCTGCCGGGTGGGGCCTTTCCTATCTGGGCTGCCGCCGCTTTATAAGGGCGCTCAGGCGGACCCGCGAGTTCTTAGAGGAAGCTGACTTCTCTCCTAGCTTTATAGCAGACCTAAACAACGGATTTAAAGATTACAAAACTGTTCCCGGATGTTTACCTCCGAGTCATGATATGGTTAAGGGATTCATTCGCTAGTATGGTAGTTCTGCTACGGGCCGACTTAGCGAAGGTAAATAGCTAACTGTTAGAACTGTTAAAGCGTGGGCGGAGCGATGCTTTGGGGGATTCAAAGAGAGCACTAAAACGGAGGTACACGAGGAGGATAGAAAAGAAGTATACGATATAGGTTTGTTATTTCTCTGTCATTAATATATCACTAACTCTACTTGTAAAGTATGGGGGGTTCTAGTGTTTACAGGATAGAGCCTGTCAACTAGGTAAGATGAGGATGTCTTCTTGGAACAATGGTGTGGTAGGGAAAACAGAGACTGATTCTTGGAGAACTCCCAGGTTCTGCTCGAATGGACTGACTGCCGTAATCATTGAACACATATATCAGGGTCCTGCGCCTGAAGCTCTTATCGAGTATCGGAAGGCTCCATGTTTACCGACACTATCGGATCACCAAATAAATCCGATCTCCACTGCTGTATTCGTTCTGACAGGTATCCCAAATCAGGTGCTTGTGGAGCAATCTGGCGGTAATCCCTATATTTACAGCCCAGTGTAGTGCATACCCGTCGAAGAAAAAAAAGGCTTCACCGAATCCTCCAGTGGCTCCTCCTCGGCCATGCTCGCAGCCACGTTCTCAGCAGCCTCCAACGCGCGCAGCACATTTGCCCCGATCACTCCGGCCAAATCTTTTACCGGCACGCCGCGATCCAGTAAGATGCGGATCAGATCTGGGTAATGACTCACGTCCTCCAGGCCGCGAACGCCGTTGGGCATTCCATCGAAATCCGACCCCAGCCCCACGTGCTGGTAACCGATACGATGACCGATATACTGGATATGGTCGGCAACATCGGCAATAGAGGCGCGCGCGGGGTCCGCACAGCGAGTGTACTCTGGGTAGAAGGAGACCATGACAACCCCGGCGTTCAAGCGGACGAAATCCAGCACGTCGTCGGGAACATTTCGCTCGTGAGGACAGATAGCAAAGGCCGACGAATGCGAAAAGATGACAGGGGCGTGAGTCACTGCGAGGGCATCGCGCATGGTCGCGTGGCTGACATGGGCCAAGTCCACGAGCGTTCCGACGCGGTTCATTTCGTGGATAAGGGCTCGACCGGCGGGAGATAGGCCCTGGCGTTGAGGAAGGGTAATGGAGCTATCAGTGAAATTGAGAACAGTGAGGCACGGAAACAGACATGGAAAGCTTCGACTTAAATATATGTTATTCAAGCTACGAATATCATACGACCTATTTCCCGGTCGGTCTCCGGTCATCAGCCTGCCGGTCCCCGAAGGTGGACCTTAGACAGCCTCCTTGAGCTCTCGTGCTTGTTCTGGGGTCATGTCATGGCCGAAGCTCTTCGCTCGACTCATGATATCCTGGATGGCTGGACGCGCCAACATGCGTGTCGCCCAAGCCTCGATATGAGGCCAGTCTTTAATGTCCACCCCGAGAAAGGTAAACATCCAAGGCATCGCAAAGGGAAAGTAAGAGAGATCTGCCAGCGTTGGACGATCGGCAAGCGCGATGTACTGTTGCCCTTGCTTTGCTAATTGCTTCTCTAGAATATCCCATTGCTTAAGCGTATTCTCATGCAGTCTATACACGGTGATCAATCAGCAATGGCCTTTTCTAACTAGTAGAGCATTCGAAGACATACTTGGCAATGGCACGAGGAAGCTGAATGGGGTTTTTGCGAGTAGGATAACCTCGCAGAAAGTAAAGCCAGTATTTGGCAGTAGCGCTGACCATGACGACAAAAACGTTATTATGTGCACACAGATTCGGTGAAGCTCAGCAACATACCCTATACCTGCAGTCTGATAGGCGACCCACGTGAAAACAGCCCCTCTTTCGGCGGCGGTGCGTCTGGCCCAGTCGCCGTGCGTATCGAAGCGATCGGCCATATACTGCAAGCACGCTGTGCCCTCAAACACATGAAAGGGCTCACCAGACTCCGGGTCCACATCCCTGAGTGCAGGCACCATACGTTCCGGATGGATTTTATATGCCCATTGCGAGGTGGTATCGATCAGGGAGATTACATGCGGAATGGCCAGCTCCTGAGCCAGGATCAAGGGCTTGATGTAGTTGATATAAGAGGTTTCGTCCGCTGATTAGAAGGGCATATCAGCAACTAGCACTTACATGTCCATTACAAAGACGATACCTTGAATGATATAAAGAACTAGTTGATTGTTGTCTTTGGGGACGTCGCCAATGATAACCTGGCCGTTTGTTGAGCTCATGTTGATCGAAGTAATGTTTCGTTGCAGCAGGGAAGGTCTCTCTAAATTCGCATATTTCATGGACGCGCGAGGTTTTTCTACTTCACGTTTGGACCAAGCAGAAGGTTATGCGACTACAGTTTCGGTGTCCGAGAAGGCCCGGCTCTAGTCCGAAATGACACCTGGTGGGATTTATTTATACATTAATAGGGTTATCATAAGAGTTGCTGACGCCGATCCAAGAGTGGAGGAATGTTTCACTAAAGACTTTCTATCAATTATTTTTGATGAGCGCCTGCACCTCCTCTCAAGTATACAACGGCCAAAGCAGGGTTGCTCGCATTGGTTGGGGGGGGTTATCTAGGATTCTGGTACGTTCTTCTCGCTCCCAGCTTTATTGCTCTCTTCATCACCTTCCGGGGGTACCGGGCTGCTCAGTGCTCTTCCTGGCCGCTGGAAGGCCACCAAAACAAGTCCTAGCAACGCAAAGCTCATGGCACCCCACCAAGTGGCCCGTAGGGCTAGCGTGTAGAGTTCCAATATTTGCTCCTTGGCGGTACCATGTAATGAATCCATGAACGATTGACTCGCTCGGACGTAGGCGCCTGACCCGCTCATCAAGGGACGGAGGTCTGCAGGCGCCAGGCTCAAATTTTTATTCACAGTCTGGTCGAAGATGATGGACGGAATAGTCATACCCCAGACCAGAGCGAAACTGCGCAGGAAGTTGAACAGGGAAGTGACGGCTGTCATGTCTTTTTGATCACACTGGGCCTGTACATTTGGTAGGAGGGTGGCTAGGAGCAGCCCGTTACCGCCGGCGACGATAATTTGTAGTACGACATGCACGACGGTTAGAGAGGTGGAAGTCAGGAGTGTAAAGCATCCTAGACCAATTGACATTATCGTAAAGGCAATAGCATTGTTGGTCAGAGCCCAGAGTCCATGGAGCCGGGACATGACGACACCTCCAACGATGGAGAACATGACTAGGGCCACAATAGTAGGCATGAGGTCAAATCCGGCTTGCTGGGTCGAAACCCCCAGGACCGCCTGGAAATACACGGTCAAGAAATAGTTGACCCACATGATAAGCATGCTCTGGATGAAGCTTTGGGTCTGGAGAGAGACGGATGAAAGACTAGACAGCAGTCGGGTTGGAATCAAGGGGTTCGCCGCCCAGTAATGCTCGTAGATGCCGAACCCGATCAGGCCACAGCCTCCTAACACCAAAGGAGCAATAACCCGTGCTGAGCTCCAGGGATACATCTGGCCTCCCATCGTCAAGGGAAGGAGGATAGCAACACTGGAGGTAGGGAGCAGGAAATTACCGATCCAGTCAAATTGCCTCGCAGTGACTCGCAGCGACTTAACCGCGCTCTTCTGCCCAGCGGTCCGATGGCCGAGCATCAAAAACAAACAGATGATAGAGGCTCCGGCGAAGGGGACGTTAAGGTAAAAGATCCAGCGCCAAGTACTATGTTGAACGATCACTCCACCGAGGATGGGTCCAAACACTAACCCTAGACACGAGGTGGCCATGACCATTCCTAACATTTGCGGCCGCTGAGCTAGAGGCAGCTGATCGCTAATGATCAGCTCAGCCATCAATGGAATAGCACCACCCCCAAAACCCTGGATGGTTCGTCCGGCCAGAATGAGGCCGAGCGAATGCGCCGACCCTGCCATAGCGCTGCCCACGCCGAACACAAGGACACTACCAAGCATGATCGGTTTACGCCCGAATTCCTCGGCCATCCAGCCGACCAAAGGTTGGAAAATGGTAGAGGCGAGAGTGTAACAGTTGGTCACCCATACATACTCAGTAGTGTGTAAGTCCCGGGCTATGGTAGGCAAGGCAGTGACCACAATGCTGCCCTCCATCGTCACAGCGAATCCGCTGAGACAGAGAGTAGCAAAAAGCACCCAGTACCTCCACGAAAGTGTCGCAGGCGCGGCATCGTCCTTGATAGTCGGTGATTCGGGATCCTGGGAGTTGGAATCTGTTTGGAGGTGGACATCAGGCATGATTGAAAAGGCTTGATGGCACTCTGCGATGGATGATTGAGTATTCGTTCGAGACAGTTAATGGTGTAAGTGCGAAAGTGAGAAAAAGAACCAAAACAATGAGGGAGAGAATTCACCACGTAGACAGACCAGACCGGAATTGGCAGCAGTTGAGGAGATCCGACAGGCATCGGTGACCGATCCCTACGACAGATCTGCCTATAGATATGTATTGTATTGTAATAATTACATTTCCGCCCCTGGGTAGTGCTGAGCGGAGACTTATGCGGAGACATACCTATAACCGGAGACTTTCGCTTGATCTGAAAGATACAATCATACCACACCACACTGTGAGTCACTAAATACTGTTGTACCCGGTGCCTTCAAACTAGCGGATTCCAGTCGTGCATGTTCCAGGCTATTGTGAGTTGTGAATCATTTTTTTGATTGCTCTTCTGGCCTGGCGCGAGTGGTCCAGGTTTCGGTTCCCCCGAGGGTCCTTACTCAGCACCCAGTAGGGGCAAGAGGTGAGCACTAAAGCGGAAAGGGAAAGCCAAGACTTGTCAGACATTATCCTGTGTATATGTATTATCAGAGTGCCTAGGCCTAGAATAACTTTAAGAAGTCACACCTACTTTCCTAACTTGTGAAGTAAATCTGGTTGACCGGACTCCAGTGCGAGTTGCTTTTATGGTTATCATGCTAGTTCGGTTTCTCCATCCAGAACAAGCACTACCTAGCCTGGTATGCCCGTACGTAGCTTAAGTTCAAGTAGCTAATCTGATAAACTTATATTATAGGATACTCTTGTAATACCCAATAAATTAACGCTCATTATAGAAAGACTTGATACCTCAGACCCTGGTTAGTAGCAAGCTTCAATGGCTGCACACGTATTATGCTCACCAAGTGCCTAAGTTGAATAATTAATCATCTCTAGTTTTACTGCCTTCTCCTCAAAACATGCAAAGCTCCTATAGAGGATCTAATTTTGGGATCTATTGTAGCGAACATCATTCATCATAATCATCATTCATCTATTTTGATATGTTGGAGGGATATAATAGATAAGAAAGCAAGAATCTGCACTAACAGTCTTCGTGATGCAAAGCAAACATCGGCAGGTACATGAATAGGAAAATGGCTCGCAGGATACTTCGAGCAAACGCATCAAACGTAGTGAAATGACCGTCACTTGATCTCGACTTTCTGACCACAAGCAGCCAACCTTCCCAACCCCACCGTCAACGTTAACTTCGTCTCATTTCTCATCTTCGCTCCATGTCATTGTTTGATCACTGTATTCACTGCCTTTATCGTCAAACCCACAATCCAACCTTCATCAACGACTCCTCAAAACCTCCTCAATGTCTGTGCTCGTGGTGATGGCCGTGGCCGTGGCCATGCTCATGGTGGTGGGCGTGGTCGCGGGAGCCCTGCTCCGCGTACGACTGAGAAGAACCATGCTGGACATTGTCATAGCCGGTATTCGAATTATACTCTGGCTGGATGCGGCCCCCTCGCGAGTCACCAACCGCGTGGGGTTGTGATCCATATTCATAACTGCCACGCGGCTGCTGGCCACCCTCTTCACCAATGTCACGAGTCAGACCGCCAGGAATAAAGTTCGAGATTTTGCTTTCGAGTTTGTTCAGATTCGACATGCCTGGGATTGGAAGGGAGGAGAGCTTGTCCCAGGGCAGACCGGAGGAGGAGTTGTTGTGGTGATTTGAAGAGGAACTGTTTGATTGTTGTTGGAAGAAAGACGAGAAACCACTCGATGATTGACCGTGGATTTGGGCATTGCTGTTACCGTGTCCGTGCTTGTTTGGCTTTTGACCCGCTAGGGTTGGGAATCCGCCATGGCCGCCGCTGTGGGTATGGCTGACGCCGCCAGTGTTACGACCTAACCTGACACCCTCCGAGCTAAGGATGTCATTCAGAGAAGCGCCACGGTCTGAACGAGAGTGGACCCAGGTCTGGACGGCCTCGAACATCGACCGGTGAGCCTCATTGTGCATATCACGCAGGGCGGGGTGGTGGAAGACGCGCATGCAATCTTCCAGAACCTCGTGCTCAGGGACGTCGACGTGCTGCCAAGCATAGAGGATGCGAGGAGCGACATACTGCACAATGGCAGAGGCGACCTGACCAGCGGGCTCGTTAAGCACATTGGCGAAATGATCCTTTGAGAGCAGGGAGTGGGTGGGATCAGTGCAGTGAGGATCAGTCCAAGGTTCGTACTGGTGCTTGCCCGAGGCGTCAATGACACCAGCTGACCCGGTTTGCAGGGACTTGGAAGCCGCCTTGATAAGAGGGCGCACGAACGGCGCCAGCAGCGACATGATCACGACGGTGAGAGTCTCAGAGATCTTCTCGACAAGAGTCTCGAGCCCAGGGATCTTTTCAATAATCGAGTCGAGCTTGCGCACGACCTTGTCGCGGAATGCCAGGATGGGATATATCTTGGCAACTGTTTCTTGCGGGTTGAAGTCGGGCATGCCCTCGAACCCAGTGCCGGGTCCTGATCCCCCAGAAGATTGGTTGCCACCCGAAGCACGCGTAGTCTCTGCATACCCCGTGGCAGCACTACGACTCCGATTAGCAGACTCCTGGGCGGCTGATGACCTCTTCAAACTCTCAGCCTCGGAGACAAGATCCTTGGTACCAGGGATCTTGCCAAGCAGACCAGTCAGGGCATTAAGAGAGTTATTAGACTGAGCATTCGCCTCAGCATCCCCCAAAGCAATATCCATCTCATTGACCTCAGATTGCGTGAAATGATCGGTAGCCTCTCCCAGCACGGAATGGAAGAAATCAACCATACCAAAGGTCCCAGTGACAAGCGGGAAAACGCGCTTCCCATGGATATTACACTCAGTCGCCACGCCAGTATGCGGGAACACATTGCGCATGCCCATCTCGCGCAACGCCAGCTCGATATAGTTGGTATGCGCGGCGAAATCTTCCAACGTGTGCAGTCCCTGTCCCAGACACCGCAGCGCTTCACACAAATCATTCTCGTTGCCCTTGTTCTGCCCACCATGGATGTATGTTCGTCCGTAGTGGATGCTGCGGCTCATGCTGAACTTGATGTATGCCGCGCTGGTGGCCCAGTCGCCTCGTTCGTTAGCGATATAGTTCTTCATTCCGGTGTTCGGGTCGATTTCAAGTTCGATGTTGCGAACGGGTGGGCGCAGGCGTTTATCGAACTGGCGTGCATCTTCATTGTCTGCATAGTCCTTGGGATTGCTACATGATCAAAAGTTATTAGCAAGGTGTCGCCCATTCCTCGATGCGCAGTCGTTCGAATCTTATTTCCCACTCACTCGATATGTTCCTCGGGACGATAAACACCCAATCGATCAGACGTCACTTCGAATTCACCCGTCGCATACCCGAAGCTCAGGAACGAAAGGACCCACACCAGGACGCGGATAGTCTCGGCCTGCAGACTTTTGAGTGTGCCGACGTCCATTGCCTGCGAGCTACAGAACAAGTCAGCTTGTGCTAGTTTCTGGCTTATTTCCTGGACTCACTAATCCCGTAACCAGTTGCCGAAATATACGCGCTTGATCATGGTTGATGTCCATTTGTGGCCGTGGATGAATGCCAGCGTCTTGAGAACATCTTCGATGTCGCCATGGCGCCAGTTCTTGCCTTCGACAGCAGAGATTGATGCGATGTCTAGGGATTGTCAGGGAAGTGTCTTTTTTTTCTAGATCTATGGGAGGGGTGTACATACTGCCAGCTCCGAATGCGTGCACCTGCGGGAGAATTAGGAGCAGCACCAGCAAGGCGGAGCCCGCGTGGATGAGGGGCATGGTGGGGGGTTTGCTGTTCGGGTTTTGTGCAAGCTGGGGGTTAGAGGACCTTGGAAGATATGAATGAAGTATAAAACAGGATAGAGTCAAATGCGAAAGAAGTTACTGTGAAGACAGGGAAAAAAGATAAGCGCAGCCCTGTTGCTCAGCCTCTTGGCTCTTGGCACGGTGATCCCAATGACGTTATGCTGAACTACTCACAAAAATGGGCAGATTCGGGCTGTGCTAATGATATTATTATTTTTTCTTCTATTTTTGTCTTTGAATAAGCTCTATGCAGCTACCTAATAGCTGCCTAAGACTCCGTACATAAACCTATGTGGCAATGCCGAGGTACAAGTTACGGGGGATAATCACTTGCGAACACCGAACTATACGGTTTCACCACTTTGCTCTCATAGAATATTTCTCGAACCCTACTCCTAAACAAGCTAATCCATTTCCGACTTGGCTCGGTGATATTCAAGTATCTAGCTTACCTACGCACCCATATCCAGCTCCTTCATTTCCTATCACTCCTTCGTTTCCCATTCCCATTCAGTTTCGGGTTCGATTCTAGCAGTGTTTTAAAATTCGATAAATTAATCGGATGGCTTAGGTCAAGTAGCTGTTTCCGCTTGGCTAAGCAACTTCGTAGCAGGTTGCTGGCTTCGGAATCGTGGCTTGAATATTTCCAAGTGATTGCAAGATTAGCCATACTGGCCAGCGTGTCGGGATGTCCTCGCCGAGCTTCGTCTTGCTTTTCTCTATCACCTACACCTGGAGCTGCTGGGCCTCCTCCCACCGGCCCTCAAGGCTATACGCTTCCGCTAACATAGATGTGCTATAAGTTAAGCGACTTCCTCATGCTTCTCGCCGAATAAGAGCAACCCTTTGATTTCTTGATCTGAATGCCATTTCACGTACATCAGCGACATTACCGCTTTCTGACTCATACCATATGTCGAGACAATGTGACACGTGACCCAGGATAGATCTGAGCGTAGTTGGCTAGTTAGCCTGGAGGGCAAGACTTCTTCTTCCTCTCTCCATCCTTCCCCCCCGATAACGTTGACATATTATTGCTTCCTTTCCTGTAGTCAAGAGACATCCGATTTGCAGAGCAGTGGCTGCAAGATATCTTCAACAATGCCATCATGTCTTAGCTAGAATGAAAGCGATTGTGCATGTACCTTGCTCACTAGAAAAAATGTGCTACATACTGTACATAACATTTGCTCGTCAACTTCCGATGCACGACTGTGGTACGCCCAATGAAGGGGGAAATAGATAACGGAGCGTGGATCAAACCATATCTCTCCCCACACCTCTTTTAAGAACCTCCCAGAACATTTTACCGGATTTACAGTAGTTTACATTGACTCACTGAACGATCAAACCCAGTACGTTGCTAGACGCGATACGACTTTGCAGGGGTAGATGCCAAGAAACAAGTGATGTATGTGCAGAGGAGAATCTAAAAGAGCACCAACTTCAGAAAAATAATCAGGGAATCCCTGCACCAGATCTTAAAGTTTAAGTTAGATACAGTCTAATTATGACGCAATCATAACAAACCCCCCAGGTTCCACACGGCTACGTACCTTGGAGCTCTACCGTCATTAGGTCCGCTTAACTTGCCAAAACGCGCTTTACGGCCTTCTCATTGGCCACTTAACCTGTTGATGATGAAGCACGGCCCCAGCATGGCGAGAACCGCTGGGGAACCTAATATATGAATGGCAACTACTATATAACACTTGGACGCCTTCATTAGGGGATTTCGTACTTCCCCGGACTGTATTACTCAGACGACATGGTTGACGACGAGAGAAGCACACATGACTCGGTCCAGCGCGAAGCAGCCCAGAGGGGTCTCCAGAAGACTGATTCCAATTCGTTTACATGGAACACCGACCACAAAGACTTTCCACGTAATTGGACACTTTGGCGCAAAACCTACGACGGGCTGCTCATTTTCTTCCTGGAATTTTTTACGACCGTCATCAGCACGACGGGTCCATCAGCCGCCGAGCCTGCTATGAAAGAGTACGGATTGAGCAGGGTGATCGCTTTGACGGGTTTCCAATTCATGTATGGCATAGGACAAGCTCTTGGAGGGCTAGTCATGCCGCCCTTCTCCGAAACGCTAGGTCGACGGAAGTCCTACTTGTTGTCAGCAGCTTTATACAGCATTTCGTCCCTGCTAGTCGGGGTCGTGCCTTCACCTGTAGGTGTCTTTGTTGGTCGGTTCTTTTCCGGATTTGCGTCCTCTGTGCCATCTATCGTGCTCGCAGGTAGCATTGAGGACCTATACTCAAATAGGAGCAGACTTTGGTTCCTCTGGCTATGGAACTGCTCTACCACGTTTGGTATGTGTCTGGGCCCGATATATGGGTCGTACATTGCTACCAGCGCCGGTTGGTATGTTCCCTTGAATCAAATGCTCATGGAAACTGGCCGTCTTATTTAAGCTAACTTAACAGGCGGTGGATCTTTCATACATCAGCTATCATCTCCGCTGTTTTATTTGTTCTCCTTTTTGCCATCAAAGAGAGCCGACCGACCAAACTGCTTTCGGAACGATTGGATAGTCTGCAGTCAGAGTTCGGGGGTCTTGACTTGGATCTCCCCAATCCAGATCGCCCTACCAGCTCGCACGAACTTTTGACTGTTATACTCCTACGACCAGCCCGGTTAGGTATGACGGAGCCTATAATCATTCTTGTCGCGTCCATTAGTGCGACGGTATGGGGCATGGTATATCTCTTCACGGAGAGCTTCACAGTCGTTTACAGCCAGTTTGGCTGGGCTGAAAAGTCCACTTCGCTGCCTTTTATTGCTCTGTTACCCGGTGTTTTACTTGGCGTCTTCGTTCGCTTGTGGGACCAACATCAAATGAACGATAGGCAAAGAAATGGAGTTAGCCCTAAGCCCGAAGACAAGATCAATGGTTTTGCAATTGCAGCTCCAGCACTAGCTGTCGGGCTCTGGGTTTTTGGCTGGACAGTCCCACCACTGGTTCACACGCACTGGATCGTTTCCATGTTCGGTCTTGCCCTGATTGGTTTTGCTGTGAATGAGTTCGCGTACACTCTAAGCGGTTACATTGCTGACTCGTACACAATTTACGCATCATCAGGCTTGGCCGCTGTGGCTTTCCTACGAGGAACATTATCGGGCTGCATGCCCTTGTTTGCGTACCAGATGTACTCTGGGCTTGGTTCAAATATTGCAACTAGCATCATAGCAGCAGTCGCGACATTGTTCTGCGTGACACCGTATATATTCCTCAAGCATGGCCTGCGGCTTAGAGAAAGAAGTCGGTTTGCAAGGTTCAGTGCGGAGATGAATGAGCGACAGAACATTGACTGAAGAGGGCCAGCACCATCAAGTGGTGCTGGACTTCGCGGAGACGTCACAGCGGTTTCAGACTCGCGCGCCTTAAGAGAAGCCTAACGACGAGAGCGGCGATGCAGCCACGACCGGCGTTGCACTTGCAGACCTTTCGTTATCAGGAAGGGGAACACTTTACATGTACGTACAAACATATATACATTTGTGGTAGCCTGAATTCGTGAAGCGGTAGGAGACAGCGGGGAATTCAAGATGTCGGTGGATGGAAATTTTGGCAGGCAGTGGTCGGAGACTACCGAAGGGGAATGGGGAGGAATCCATCTGCTCACCCTTGCTCACCCCTCAGGTCAGTGAGCGGAAGAAATGATTTTGGGCGAAAGATCTGGTATGCTAGGTATTAGGAAATGCACATGACTTGGCAATCTCCCAGTTGGTGGGAGCTTGGTGGCCCATCCCAAAGCTGCGGGCCTTAAGAAATGGCGGTTGCAAGGACTAGAGCATCCTATGCTAGCTCGACCATAGTAAAAATTAAATATGACTTTGTGTTGCTTATACTATTCATTTGATACAGCTGGCAGCAGTAGGTTCTCATAGTGGTAATGGCGCAGCATACTCTGACCGATTCCTCTGGCTACATAGTTATCGCGTACGCACTTGATCTAAGTGTTCTGGCTCGGGTCGGCCCGCGGAAGACACTAATCCAACCCAACACAGGACCAAGAGAATGCTCGATGTGCACGGCCCGCGAGTCTGATTCCCTGTCGGTAACATTGGAAGATCCATATACTCGCCACTTTCCAAGGTTCTTTTGTTTTCATTTTCACCTTTAACCATCTTGCCACTCCTCTTCCAATTCCCCTGGACCACGCCGATTCTGCTTTGTGACAGTCCATTCCGATCACCGTCAAAATGTCGATAAAGTCTCTTCCGGTAGAAGTGATGTCCATCATCTGCAGCCATGTACAGATCTTGGAAAGGAAGATGCTCAGGTTGACATGTCGCACATTATGCACAACGTCGTCTGGGGACTTCTTCGACCGATATTTCAAAAGCATCCACTTTATGGTGACGAGCGACAGTCTTGGCAGACTGGAAGACCTCGCACAATCCGATGAAATCAAAAAGCGAGTCCAAGAGCTTTGGATGATACCAACCGTGTTTGAGGGCGTACACCAGCTCGGTGAAAATAACATGGGAGAATTCCGTGTGTCGTCGAAAAGTTGCCAGCCATTAGATGGCGACGACCTGAGGGACCGCTATCACACATACAAAGCCATGATCACAGACAACTCCGATCTCCTGAATTCACATGTTTTCAGCGCTAGACTCTCCAAATGCATGGATCAATTCGATAATCTTGATGCAGTTGGTCTGGCACATTATACGACGACCTTTTTATTGGATCCACGACAACGAAAAGTTCGATTCCTTGGTTGGCGCCACCTTGTCGACCGGATTGACTTTCGATTCACCCCTGCGACCCTGGACCGACTCCAGGATATCGGCGATAAAATGCGAAAGGTCAATTCGTTGGCCTTTTCAAGACTTCTTCAAGCGCTTAGCTGGTCAAATCAAAAAATCAGGAGATTACATACCTGTGATCCTAATTACTGTGCCGATGTCAGTTCCCAGGTGACCCTCCCAGAAATGCAATACGATTCTCGTCTCCCGTTCCTAGACAGTGTAGAAGATCTCCATCTCTGCATAGATCTTGAGAGGGACACTTGGGTCAAACTGGTTACTAAGTTGTCACCTGGTCTCAAGCGACTGAGGCTCTCACAGAGTGTCAGCCATCCCTCCCAGGCACACCCTTACTTTTTCAAGGGTATCTGTGAGAGAGGAAAGTTCATTCAGCTCAAATGCCTACACTTGAATCAGGTTCAGATCACCTCTGAATCGTTGAAGTCAATGCTTACTACGGCCAAACAAACTTTGGCTATCCTTAAACTCACCAGAGTGAGATTGATCGATCATGAGATCAATTCGATAACTGGTGATTTGAATTCTTCCCAAGGGAATGTTTCAAACATCCCACGCGTTGATGATCCTGGTCATTCACAAGGCCGGTATAGACATCCACCACGCGGCTTTTACAATACTCCCCGTATTCCACGTATCTCGCCATCATCGCCTCTCTTCTCTTTATCCGCCGCTTTCATCCGACCAGCAGTGGGAATACCGCCTGTACCAACAGTCCCTCCTCCCCCAAGGAACACTTATGCACCGATTCCTTCTACTATGCCGAGCAACTCCATTGTGCCACAGACTCCCCCTCCACCAACAAACCTTTATTCACTGGTTCCTTCTACTACACCGACCAATTCCTACAATTCCTACACAAGCCCCTTAATCACATCGCACAATTATGTACCAACTCCCCCCATCCCAACCGGGCAAGAGGATGTCATCTGGAAAGATCTTTGGAAATTCTTCAGCAATGAGCTGTCCTTGCAGAAGTTCAACATGGCAGAAATCGGCTCCGGTAGGTATCGTGTATGGCTTCAAGGGACTGAAGGCGACATTAGATGGACAAGGCCTGCTGTTTTCAATGCCCAAGAAGTCGGATCTTCGTTTCGGGAATGGATCGACCAGTTTACACCGCGGCAATATTTGGAGATGCCCGACTCTGACGAGAGGAACAATGACATGGGTAAGCAGCCCATACGTGACAGTCTTTCAATATTATTCTAACTTTATTTAGAACTATGGTTCAACAAGATGATACATGCAGATAGCGATTCGGTCGATGCTGTCACGTGTACATGTGATCGTCAGGCTGACCCTTACTGGAGGTCCTGTCCCTTTGGGTGCGAGTATGCTTGATGGTGATGGCGTTCGCAGAAAAAATTAGATTGCAGAGAAATGGAAATACTGGCAATATTGCTTTTGTTTCTACCATTAATATGAAATTGACCCTAAACATGCAAAACGACATTGAACTTTCTGTAGTGCTTCCATCCCCATTCCCATTCTGGTTTCTTTACTTCAAGGCAAGCGTATGATCAACACTAGTTTCCGCATCGATATAAACAATAATCCATTTCAGATCAGGTAATCTCTATACACCACATGCATTTGAGTGACGCAGGCGTGCGACCGTAGTAGAATGGAGTGGGGGCGTATTGCGAATCTTGATCCCCAGGCTCGAGGTCTGCGGCTGAAGATCGCGGTCATTGGAATACGAATTAGCAGTCATCGTCCTCGTTTCACGTCAGCATGATCACTGGAATACTGCCAAGAAAGTCATTCAAGGGCAGAGTAACCGTAGTAGGTGTAGCGTGTTTCGAAAGAATCTCTGTGAGGAAATGGTGAAAGTGATTTCGATCCATCCTATGACTAAAACTAACCCTAACTGCGATATAATTTGTTATTGTTGTTGATATATAGTCGTATTGGATCCACGGTAGTATTGAGAGTCCATAGACACGGTTACATCAAACCCCGCATAAAACCACATTCATATATCTACTTCTACTTCTGCATCTACATCTACACTTTACACTTCCACACATCTACAATTCCACTTCTACTTCCTTTTCATACTCCCTCACACACATACCATGACAACCCCCCACCTCGACGCCCTCCGCCGCGACGGCTTCGTAGTAGTCCGCAACCTCCTCACCCCAACAGAAGTAACACACTACCGCGAAATCGCCACAAAAGCAACAACGCTCACAAGAACCGGAAGCTGGCCACACTTCCGCACGGTGCCCAAACAATTCCCCCCATGGCCGACCACCCCACCACCAGCCTCAGAGGGCGGAATCTGGGGCGTACAGCACCTCCTGCACCCCGAGATGCCGGGCCGGGACAGTTTCGCACGGTGTTACTTCTCACCCTCGATCCTGGCAGTTGCGGAGGAATTGATGGGTGTGGATAGTACAACTTCTACTTCCGTTGAACCACTTGTGATGGAATTATTCAACCTCCTCGTCGCGCCCGAAACGAAAGATTTCGAGCTGCGCTGGCACCGCGATGATATCTCCGAGCATGCAACTGCCGACGAGGAAGTCGCTCAGTTGGCTGCTAAAGCGCCCAATGGGCGGCAGGGTCATTGCCAGTATAATCTGGCGCTTTGTCCGGATTCGTCGTTGATTGTTGTTCCGGGGTCGCATGGGCGGGCGCGGACGCAGACGGAGCGTGAGGCAGATCCTTATGCTGCTTCTTTGCCGGATCAGCTTGTTGTTGAGCTTCAGCCTGGGGATGCGGTCTTTTATAATAGTAATATTTTGCATCGGGGGGTTTATCGGGGGAAGGAGGAGGGGGGTGTGGAGACTAGGTTGACGCTCCATGGGAGTATTGGGTTGAAGGCTTTGGGTGGGGATGGGGAGGGGGATGGTGATGTCGAGGAAAAGAAGAAGATTAGGGCTACGGCTGTTTTGCAGCATGGGGTTGGGGCTTGGGTTCATCGCGATGATGCTGCTTTTGATGTTGGGGAGAGGGCTGAGAGGATGAGGGCTAATCTTGTTGAGATGGGGACTGGGGAGGGGATTGGGTTTTCTTTGCAGGGGTAGATGGTGGTTTATGGTGGAGACTGAGCTGTGTATTTACTATGTTCTGTGTATATATGAGATCATGCATAGCAAATGTATATGTATATGTAAATGCATATGCATTTGTATTTGAACGCTACTTAGATCGTTCTATCTCTAGGATGTATTGACACTCCCACGTAGGTGAACACCACTAGGCAACCCAAAGATCTGCACAGCACTATCCACCACACAAGACGCAATACTCCCACCCCCAGACCCCCCAGTCAGACAGTCACCGACATGCTCGTTCCGCAAATGACCAGTAACATAGTGCGACCAAGTCGTGCGAGCACCATCACACTTTGCGAGAGAAACTCTCTTCCCATCCTCCGAAGCAGCAAGACAAGCCGTTCGATCAGACAGTGGACTCAAAGCCAGCTTGCTCCCTTTAGCATCAACACTCCAAACCTGAGAGTCCAAGGCACGGCACTCTTCAAAGGTGGCCTTCCCAGAAGAAGCCGTCATACACAGACCAGACGGAGTGTGAAATACCATTCCCGTGGGTGTGATAGCAGCGCAATGCTTCGGCGTGATACGATAGACACTGGTTGCATGCGAATCGAGCTTGATATCAACAGCAGCATGTATAGTCGAAACATGACCGGTCCAGAGATTGCGAGCGCTATACTCGCAGTGTGACTGAGACGACAAACCAAGACGGGCGAGAGAAACACTCGTCGTCGCAGTTGTATTGCCGCGGTTCAGCACAGTGAGAAGTCTATCCCCATTCGCCAACGAGCGAGTCAGCACGTCGAAGGTCCCATCACGACTAACCAAAGCAGCCTGCTCAGCCAAAGGATCCTGATCAACCTCAATAAGAGCAGAATTGCTAAGATAGGCAATATCCTCATCAGAGAGCGCAGGAATATAAGCACTGATAATAAGCGGTGCAGAAAACGAAGCCCAGAGCGCAAAATGCGACTCCTTCTCAGCCTGCGTCAAGCCAGGATGGTCAGGAATCAAGAAATCAGGATCATTATAATACCCGGGAGCCTGGTAGCGCACCAGCAGGGTATTATAGTCATAATTATTCATAATACTATCCCAAGCACTGCCCTCGCCCACATAAACCAAAACATCAGTCGAATGTCTCGCCAACTCGCCATAACGAGGCACCCAATCCATAACAACAGCCCAGTCAGAGGCATTATCCGCAAAATAAGCCGGCGCAGACTCAGAAAAGATAAGCGGTTTCTTCATTCCACTGAGTATATCATGCCACTGCCCATAGCGCACACGATACTCCTCACGAAGCGACCGACTCCCCTCAGCCCAGACATTACACCCATCCAGCTTGAGATAGTCAATCCCCCAGCTAGCGAATGTCTCCGCGTCCTGCTGTTCATATCCATAGGAGCCGGGGTACCCGCCACAGGTTAGATTCCCAGCATCTTCATAGATCCCAAGGTGGAAGCCATGATTGGCGGCGTACTCCACCAACCAGGGAATGCCATGCGGGAATAAGGTGGTATTCCACTGCAGCGAGCCGTCCGCGGCGCGGTCATGGCGCATCCAGCAGTCGTCTAGATTGAGGCGGTTGTAGCCTGCGCGCTGTAGACCGCGGGTGAGCATTGACTGGGCAGTTTCTGTGAATAGGGTCTCGTTCAGATCGCACATGAATCGCGCCCAGTTGTTGAAGCCCATTGGTGGGGTTGGGAGGAGAGTTGGGGTCTCTGTTGACGCTTGGGCTGGGAGTAAGGGGACCATTAGGAGGTTGGCTATACTTGGTATCGACCAGGGAGACATTTTTTTCATTTTCATTGGGGTCAATGGGGGTGACCTTCAGATGATGGGTTAGAGCGAGAGTTCGGACTTTGAGACTGGAGAGCTGGGGGGCATTGGCTGTACTTGTGCCCAGCAGGGGGTAACTTATATGCCCCTGTTTATGTTCTGCATCTCAACATTTCCCCGCACCAGCGTCCCATTGTGATCTCAAGGGACATTAGCAATGCGACGGTGGCATGGGAATAGGGCGTTGAGTGCATAAGTGCGTAGGGCAGGGATCCGTGGAGACGATTTCCAGGATCTGCCGGTGGAGAGCGGCATCGAGCTCGTAAAGCGCAAGCTTCCGATGGAGAAGACGAAAGCCCACGAAGTTTATCTCGCCCGTTTAACCATCTTGCCAGAGAAAAAGCTTAGGATGCCGACCCACGTCTAACGGTTACCCGATCTCTCATATCTTAACCGCTTCAACCTCACCATGCCCGACGCAAAGACCAAAATCCGCCCCCAGCAGTCATGTCTCAAGTGCCGTGAGCGCAAAGTGAAGGTATTTTCTCCGCTCACCTTCTCTCCCCTTTCTCTTCCGACTATTCGGCATCACTCCGACCCTATCGCAAAAGCTCCAACCCACACAAGCCCAAGCCAAAGCCCAAGCCCAAACACCCCAAGTCAAGCCAGATCAAGCCCCACAAATCCCAATCTAACTCATTCCCCCGAATAAAACAGTGCGATCGCTCTATCCCTTGCCACGCCTGCATAATCCGCGGCATCGAAGCAGAATGCACATACCTTACAACAGCCGAAGACCGCGCCCACATTAGCCAAGCCGAGATTATCGATCGACTCCGCCGTGAAGTGGCCCAGTTGCGCGGGCGCCTGAATCAACCCCCGCGAGATCCGAGCCAGAGTCCCATTCTGGGCAGCCGGTTGAGTCCGGGTTCCGATCGCGATCGGGATGGGGATGAGCGGAGACAACACACGCCGGGGCCAGGGTCCGGTGCTGGGGCTGGGGCTGGGGCTGCGCATGGATATTTGAATCAATCTCAGTCTCAGCAGGCGATTACGGGATATGGGCCTGCGTATGGATCGCGTGATGCGCAGGGGTTTCTTACTGGGCACGGGCACGGACATGGACATGGACATGATCCTGGGGAGGGGAGTTGGCGCGGGTCGTCCCCTTCGTCTACTATGACTAGTTCGGCGACCGTTATGAGTCCTGAGAGTACGGGGAGTGAGAATGGGTCGGGTTCGGGTTCAGGCTCCGGCTCTGGCTCTGGCTCTGGTTCTGGCTCTGGGTTTCCTGTTGCCACGGGGTATGTGCCGCAGGTTGCTGATGTGGATGGGTCGGGTGTATTGGGCGATGCGCTTGTCCTTGGACGTGAGTTTCTCCTATTTCCCAGTGGTTGAAGATTGTGTTGTTCTTTTAGAATTGAACTGACAAGTACTTACAGATTCACTAGAAGACCCGACCTTGTCGGGCTGCTATGCAGGCAATCTTGGAGCGTCCTTTTCTCCGGGTGATATGTCCGGCGTCATCCCAGTGACGGGTCTACCGCCGAGCGGGCTACCTACGAAAGATGGGCTTGCTGGTTTACATGCTCCAATATACAGAGCTGACGGGGTGGAGTATCTTATGAGTGACGGGGGTGAAGCTCACCCGTACTATCCCGACCAGAGCGTCAACTATCCCATATCATCCACACAATTTGGAGAGGAAGACAGGCCTGCATTTCCTCAATGGGGAGATGTATACAGCCAGCAACAAAGTCAATTCCAACAAGGTTATCCGCATCAAACCCCGTCTCATTCTTCTACCAACACCTTTGCCAACATCACGAATATCCACACAGCCATCACCAATCGGAATCCCTATCCTGATGCACCACCGTTTCCCCTCCCAACACCAACCCCTGCAATAGCGGCCGATCCTTCCATTTTCCCCAATCCCACTTCCCAATATATTCCCTCCCCAGCTATCACGAACCACATCCCGAACTCCTGGAAAGGACAGGGAAAGCAAGAGCTCCTGGAGACGCTCCTGGAGACAATTGGCAGCTGCGACGAGCAGAGCGTCGCTCAGGTTGTACAAGTCGTCCGAACGAGCGCGTCACCCGAAGAGGCCGTTTCTGGGATCTGTCGTGTTCTGGGGATTGGGAATGGGCGGTAACGTGAAATGGCGTGATGAGATCCAGATCTGGGATTTTGGATCTCGTGCATCGGTCTCTTGAGTCTGCTGTGCGGATTGAAATGGGATCAGACCAGACAGTGTTCGGTCCGGTCTCTTCAACGGGAACCCAGTTATATCCCTGTGTTGCTGGTCGATACAGGGACCAGCTGTGAAATTGGATCTGTCTGAGACGGATTTACCACATCATCCCAGACCTCACCTCATGTCCGTCTCATGGCTGATGTCTCATGCCTCCTCTCGCATCACGATATTGTTCAACAGAACCGAAACGAAATTCTAGTACATAGTAAACATCTATACATTAATCCTCAAGTGTCATCAATCATGATCGTCAGATGCAAGCGAGTTGAAACTGTGGGTATCGTAGTCGCTATTTCATCGCAGCCAAGTCTCAACATTCATGGCATATCGGACTCTTCGTTATTCTCGAAAGGTCGTTGCCCGTACACGTAGTGGAAGTGCACGTAGAGATGGAGCGAGGGGTTGACGATCTCGGCTCGCACCTTGTCCATGAACTCCTGCGTTTGCTGGTATGTAAACCCAAGCACGCGAGTAAACAGAGCGAGCGAGTAAGGCTCAACACCTTCAAGGATGGTAACTCTGCACAAACGACCCAGTTCTTTCAAGCGCTGGTTCTTCGCCCATCCCCCGATAGGGCACTAGATCAAGTTAGCAACGCTGCACATCGTCCCCATGTATAGTAAATCACCTTGTAAATATCATCAGTAACAGAGTCAAACCCCGCCTCAACCATCCACTCCCTAACAGACTTTGCAATATTAACAGGCCGTCCATGCTTCACACTAGCCTGATCCAACAACGTCATGTAATCATTAAGATTCCTCGCCTCCTCATGCGTCCCATCCTCCGACCTCACCCAACACTCAAACTCCTGAACCTCAAACCAACCACCCGGCTTCAGCGACTGCCACCCCTGTCTAAGAAGTCTTGGCCAATCCCCAATCCCGCCCCCCATACTGCGCGCATGCACGTAGTCGAATTTCTCGGCAGGCCCAAAAGCCCACTCGCTCTCTGCATCATCGATGAAGAACCGCACATTCGGCGGCGCCCAGTTCGGCTGGATGGGACTTAGATCTGTGCCGATGATCTCGGCTGTTGGGTATGCCTCTGCCATTTCGAGGGCCCACACGCCTGTGCCGGTGCCGATGTCTAGTACGCGCTGCGGGATGGTGGTGTTGTTGTTGTTTATTGGGGCGCGGTGCAGGTCGCCGCCTACGACAAGTCTAAAGAGGTCGTGCAGTAGCGCTAGGCGTTCTTGTTCTTCTTCGTCGTTTGGGATTGGGTATTGGCCTGGTCGGTAGGCGTGGTACCGTCGACCATTTTCGTAGCTGTAGTCGCGTACTGAGGAGGCGAAGGAGAGGTTGGAGCCTACTATTGATTTTGTGTCGTAGAAGGACTCGTCATCGCTTGTCTGTGGGGTTGTTTAGTGTTGGTGTTGTGAATTTGGATGTTGATGTGGATGGGGTTGGGGCTGGGTTGCGGTGAGGGGATGTGAGGTGGCTCCATTTGACTTACGTCGACTTGGATGCGTTCTTCAGGGTTAGGTTGTGACATTTTGGGATGGAGAGAAGAGGAGGAGAGGGTGAGATCGAAGTAAAGAAGTAAAGTAGAGAAGTGAAGCTCGAATCCCGAGAGAAAGGATACCGGGAGGATTTCCCAGAGGAATGACCCCGCAGTGATCCGAGGGAATGGTACGGGTTTATTTATTTATTACTTATTTATTATTATGTATTTATCTTGTATTTATAATAACTCTACTTAGACTAAGTTAACTTATAATATGTCATATTATATCATGCGATGCAATATGTTATATTACATTCCACTTTATGGATCTCCCAGTCTGGTTCCGCTATTGAAGTCAACTGTAGGCCTGTAAATAAATATACCAGATCTACTGTAAGCAAGGGAAAAACAGCAAGAGCCCAAAAGAAAGAAAAAGCAAAGAAAAGTGACAAAATAGCAAACAAAATGGCAAGAATAAAACAGGGGAAGAAAAAGGAACAAAAGGAAAACGCAAGTCGACCCAGCTCTCTGGCGCCCGTCGGGGACTCCACACGGGACGGGTAAGCCCTGGTCTGTTCCGACTGGGCCTGACTGGGGCGTCTAGAATTGGACCAAGAATGACCCAAGGTTTCTTTGTCCACGGTAACTTGGCATTCCTGAACTTGGGGTAACTATACGTTTTCTTAACTTTCCATTTCTGTCTCAATGCTTAATGATTGCCACTTTTTGGGCAGATGCACTCCGAGTAGATTAAAACGCATCTGACCGCCCTCTATCTGTTTACAGACCTTCCAGTTCTTATACATACTGTTTCAGCCACAGTTTGAGAGCAGCTATTGTGAGGATACGAGTGGATGTAGAAATCTTATACTATGAGACTGAGTCCCCGTAGAGAACGAATGTGCTGAAAAGCGTTTATCATAAATACTAACGAGTGAATAACAGCTTCCGTCGATGCAGACTGCCTCTGCAGCCCCATTGCCGCAACCAAAGCCTACTGTCGACAGACTTGTATTACGGCCTCAGCTGTTTCAAAGAAGTCTCCTGGAGCAGTAGCGTGACCCGAAGACTGCAGGTAAATAGCACGAATGGACGGAAGATTCGACGCAGAGGCATTTTACCAACTGGCTCAGTCGCTGCACGAGCCGGTCTCTACTACTTTCGGGAACCCTCAACGCCCGAGCTTCGATCATGCCATCGAGGACCCCGTAGCCGACAAGATTTCTATTCGTCCGAAATCGAGAGTTGCGATTTTCGAGGGGCTGTAGCTTAGCTTGTACGGAGAGCCGTGGAGTCTGCTGGTCTTATGGATGAGTCTTGGTTTATTGAAGTTGATCGTGAGATTGCTCGAGGTCGGCTTGTTCAGCGTCATATGGCATCGGGTATTGTGCCTGATGCTGCGGCTGCTGAGCATCGCATTTCTAGCGCTGACTTTTTGAATGCGGATGGTATTTTGGAAAACCGATTGCCGTTGCAGCAACTAGTGCCAGGCTTTTAGTGATGTTACATATGTCTTCAAGAAAGCATGTAACAGAACAGTTTATAGGTCCATCGATGAAAATTGTATCTGTGATGACCACAGAGGTGCTTTTTCTTTTCACTATAATGGAATATTGGATTCTATCCCGTACCCTTGGCTCTGGATTCATATGCAGACTAACATTATACGATCGCTACTAGTATTGTCTAGCAGTATAGATATGATGTTGGCCAGTTTACCTTGGAAAGTTCTCGAAAACCCGGCGTTGGGCTCGCGGTAATGATACAGTACATAAAAAACAGGAATAGATCTTTAAATCTCGTCATAGTTTGGGGGCGGATTGCCAAGGCGCATGGATGCCCGACCAAAGCAGGGCCATCCCAAACGGGCCTCATGCTTCACCCGACACATCGGTAGCTTTGTCTGTGATTGTTAACATACTTCCCACCGTAACTTTAGCAAGGATATCATCAATCATCAATAATTCTCATTTGTCAAAGGACCTTCTAAGCCATGCACACCACAGTAAACGTGAACGTGGCAAGCTGGAAAAGAAAACCCTGGAATGTTCCCTGCATGCAGAACCAGAACCAGAACCAATGGCCCGGGTTCAGGCCAAGCCACCCGGAGGTTCAGGGTTCAGGGTTCGGGGTTCACACAGCTACATGTATACGCATTACTCCATACCAGGTTACAGTTACAGTACAGTTACAGGAAAAACAAAACCCAGCCGGTGGAGAACCCCGGTTCCAAATGTATGCCTACACAAGCCATGTACATGCACTCGTATATTTTAAACCTATCCATGCATCCATCATTAACATCCAAACCCCAGCCCGACAAACTCGGGGTAGTCGGACCGGGACATAACGCTCGACAAGGCTGACAGATTACAGACTCTGTAGCTTGACCTGCTCATCAGGCGTCAAGGCAGCATACACTTCTTGGAATCCGGGCTGCGTAGAAGCCTGTCTAAAGAACTCCGCAAGGAAACCCTGCGTCTCATCATCGCGTTTCCGCACACCGAATACACTCTCGGAACCGCCCTCGCCGAAACTCATCAGCTGCTGCTTCGTCACGCCGAGACCGAGGTCGAGTGTTTGTCCGGGCAGATCCTCCCAGTCGTCGTCGCCATCATCGCTGTCGGCATCGTCGAGGGCAGCAGCGGTCGCGGCGTCGATTTCCTTGTTGCCTGATGCAGCGGCGAGTTCTTCAACGAGGACCTTGATGATTTTCAGCGGTGCTGGGACTGTCGTGTACCGGTCTGGGTTGTTGCGAGCTTGCGAGCGGGTCTTGATGCGGCCCGTGTCTTGGATGATTAGGTCGCCTTTTACGGGGACTTCGGCTACGCGTGGATCGGCGAGCTCGTACAACCGTGCTAGGGCGAAGGTGTTCTGCTTGATCTCGTCGTAGCCGGCGAAGTTGACGGAGTTCTCGAGCCATTTGCTGAGCACGACTGTGAGGCCGCTCTGGCCGCCCAGGTTGACTTGTGCAAGGAAGTCGACGACTTCGCGGGCGCTGATGAGGGTCAGACGGGCAAAGACGAGAATAAGACTCTGGATGAACTGGGCTTTTTGTGCTGAGGCCAGTCGCTGGGCCACGGCTTGGAGAAGCTGGGGTAGATAGGGACCTAGACGTTCTGAGCCGGCTTTTTCGACTAGCTCTGCAGCCAGCTGGCCAACCTCTGTCGCGGCATTGTCGTCTACGGCCGGCCCGAGCAGTCTGTCGATGATGACCAGCACGACTTCAAGCGCTTCCTTACCGGATTGGGGGTCACGCCAGGCAACAAACTGGGCAAAGTCGTGGGAAAGCATGTGTCGCACGGCCTCGGTTGCAGGCCGGATCAGCTCAGCCTCATCCGATTCCAGCAACAGGCGGTTCACCTTTGGCATCACAGTTCCGATGAAGCCAGCGGGCATTGGCTCGAGACTGCGCTCAGCCAAGGCGCGGAGGAGATCTGCCGCGAAGACCGTCAAGGAATTTTCCTCTGTCAGGTTGCCGACGTCAATGGCACCCATCAGCGATGGGAGGACCTTCTCACAGAGACGCATGTATGCATCTGGGCCGTGCTCGGTAATCTGGTCGACGATATCTTCAAAGGCTTCGGTTACCGTCATGGTCAATTGGAAGTTGTCAGCGCCGCTGCTGGCGATGCTAAACAGAACATCAATGGCAACAGAAGAGAGGACCACGGCAGGCTCGGCCATGATAGTATCGCGGAGGGTCTCCGCCAAGGTGACCTTGAGATCATCGGCGTCGGTCTGCTCACGAAGATCATGGGCGGAGATGAACTCTGAGATTGCCGAGATCACAGAGGCCTGGAAGGGGCGGGCCAGGTTTGAAGGCAGGGATGGCATGAGGTCTTGTAGCACACGAATACAAGCCACCTTTACCACCTCTGCGGGATCCTCTGCAATTGCTTTGAGGGTAGCCTCTAGATATGAAGATGTGGTCTGATGGAATGCTTCACCGGCGACCTTGGACAAAGCACCGGCTACGAGATAGCCCCGAGCACGCAAAAGCTCCTGCTCCTGTTGGGTGGCATATTGAACAAACTTGGTGAAGTGATTTGCCAGCTCTGGGGTGATCGTCTGGTCAACTTCACTGAAGTCGCGGAGCATGCAGTTCAAAACGTAAAGGGCTGCTTCGCGGGGTTTCCATGAAACAGTGTTATCAGCGAAGAGTGTGTCCATATAGCCGAGGAGGCCCTCGGCTGCGACGCTCTTCAGCCATTCACCAGCCCTGATGACGAGATCACCACTGCTGGTACGGGGAGTGCAGTTAGCAGTGAGAGATGTCTCTTCAGAAAGGAAGAGGTTGACATCAATCTCCCACAGACCCTCTTCCTCCGTAGTGATTTGCGCATAGGAGCTAGCAAGCTTCATGATCTCTGGGAGCCAGCTAGAGGTACTGGCGGCAGCGCCCGCATTCTGCAATTGCTGTTGAAGCTCTACCTTCACAGGGGGAGCTTTCAGTAAAGCTTGAATAAGGTCGAGCTCTTCAAGGATTAAGAAGTCAAGCGAATGAGGAAGGCCGTCTCCATCTTCCAGCCTACCCTGTCGCTCATCCTCAATGTAAAAGTTTTGATAGACCGGCAAAGCATTGGTGAGCTCGGTCCAGACGGTCGAGAAAAATAGTGTGCTCTGGGCTGTCAAAAGAGCAGGGAATACCATGCGAATTTTCATAAGTGTCTGTAGTATAAAAAGTTAGCGTGAGCTCAAAACAGAGGCTATAAAGAAGCTTCAAGCCAAGATCCAACGGCGATTCCGGTAGCTCCGCAAGGGCCATTGAAGGCGGGTTCGAATACTGCTTCAAATAAGGTTTAATCATACCTTGACGACCTGTATTTTCAATCCAACGACACCCCTCCACTGTGTTGCAACATCCCCTTGTTTATGAGCCTCTTCTTCACTGGGAGCTTGTGGCAGGGGTGCTTTCAAAGTCGCATCGAGGAATGGTGACCATCCGCTGAGAACTTCATCCATAAACTGTTTAATGGCGGTCTTGTGTTGTTCCAGGACCATCTCTAGGGTATCAAAGCAAGAGCGGAAAACTGCGACAGCCAAAG